ACCTCACATAATAATAGGCTTTACTTTATTATAGTTTCTCAAGTATTATAAGATTTATTCCTAAGAATACTTATAATAAAGTTAACTTTAGAAAAGTATCTATTATAAGTCTAAGGTTAGGTCCTAAAGATTACTTTCTAGGAAGACATAAATATTCTCTATTTCTTAAGGAACTTTCTATAATATAAGTCAGGTATTTAAACCTTAAGAAGCTTTTCTTAGTCTAAATATATTTTTAGAATATTATATAATAGCTCCTAATAAATAGTATTAAGATTACTTTTAAAGCTTATTATATTAGGAAAGAAAGTAAGTTCTAACTCTATTTTAGGAAGTTTTCTAGTAAAAATTACTAAGAAAAAAAAAGTAAACTTATAAATAAAGTTTTTATAAGATATAATAAACCGCAAGATATCCCTAAAAATACCCTTATATTACTCTAACTATAGAATATATTAGTTAATTACATTTACTAATTCTTGCTTTTATTAGAGTACTTTAACTTTAGTACGCAAGCCCTATTTTATAGCTTAGGTAATAATAACTCGGGTATTAATCTTAGTGTCTTAATTATTACCGGAATTATTTCCGTTATTATTACTAGCTCTCGGAAGCTCTTAAGAAGCCCTATTAAAAGTATTAAACAAGCCTTTACTATTACTTATATTGGGATTAATCTAGTTAACTTTCTTTATAAGAATAGCTTTAGTAAAGAGTTATATATTTTGCAGATTTCGAGACATAATTACTTATTAAACTACTTCTTTTAAGAATAAAGAAATTAGCTTATAAGATATTTATTAGTAAGTAATAAGATAATAGAATAAATTAGTATATTATAAAACTATAATATTAAATTTAGTATAGAACTAATCTCTATTTTTCCTATAAGGTCTAGGAAAGCCCCCTCTAAATAGGAGGCCCTAATAGTATATATATAATTAGTAATTTATAAGCCTAATATATATAATATAAATAGTAGTTAGTTATAGTATTAAAGGGCCACTAATTTCCCTAATTAATACCCGTAATATCCGAGGTTTATTATATACTCTCAAGTCACGTGTGACCTTATATATATTATAAAACAAATTATTTATTTAATAAATTAGATTATTTCTTTACTAGATTATTTAAGATTAATAAAATAATTAGCTATTTATATTAATTAGATCTTTCTCTATTATATAGGATTTAGCTAATTTTCTATATAAATAGGCTTTATAAGAATTCTACTAACCTATTATCTAGCTAAACTAATAAAAAGCTTAGTTTTACTAAAATTAATAATAAATTTAAATAAGAAATTAAAAAAATCTTTTTTTCTAAAGTACTTTATAATAAGCTTTATTATAAAATTAAATAAAAGAAATAAGATATAAATAATAAATAATATCTTATATTAAATTTTAAGAACTTAGTACTTAAACTAAATAATTTTATAAGTAGAATTTTAGTAAAATAAAACTTCTTATTTAACTAAATAAATAAATTTAATATACTAAAGAAAATAAGTTTAATAAAGATTATCTAGATAATAATAAATCTTAATAATAAGGTCTTTATAACTAGAAAAAAAAAAGAAAAACCTAAATATTTCTCGGGTTTTATCTAAACTTTAGTATATTTCCTTTATTTTACTATATTAGTATTTATTTTCTTTTTTAGAAATCTAGGCAAAATATCTTTCTTTATTATACTAGATTATATTTTATTATCTAAGTAAATTATAAAAAAAAAAAAATCTTAAAGCTAAGCTAAAAATAAATACTTACTTATATTAATTCGAAATATTATTAAAAATTAAGGGAAATTTTCTTAATTACTTTAATTTTTATAACCTTAATTATTTATACTATTACTATTATCTTAATAAAACTATTAATAAAGACGAAATAAATAAGAAATCCCGGTAATATATTATTTATAGCCGGACTAAATAAGGCTATTTACTAGATCCTAAATAATTTAAGTAATAATAGTAATATCTTAAGTTTAGTAGCTATTATTATTATTAATATAATTACTAACTAAACTACTTTTATAAACAAAAATAGTAATTCTCTTACTTAAAAATAGGTTAATATATAAAATATGGCCCGTATTACTTTTAAGAATATATCTGAAATTACTATAGAAAATATCTTAGTAGAAAGTTCTAAGGATAATAAAATAAAGGTTTTAATTACTAGTAATAATAAGCCTAATAGTCTAATAGGCGGAATAGACGGTACTAATAAGGGCTTTCTTATTAATCTTATAGAGCCAAATATTAAGAAAGTCAAAAAAAGTAAGGCTAGCTTATTTAAGAAATATAAGGTATTAGATAATAATAAGAATTCTAATAATAAAAAGACTAAGAATAATAAGAATTCTAATAATAAAAAGACTAAGAATAAAAAGACTTCTAGTAATAAAGAAGATTCTAACTATAATAAAAGTAGCCAAACTAGTATTAAGATACCTATTATAACCAGAAGATATATAATACTAAATACTAGTTATTATATAAAGTACTAGTCTAAAACCAAGAGCTAGAAAATAATTCTAAATACTAAATTAAAGAAATAATACCCTATAGATATTAATAAATTAGTATGTAATACTATTTAGGAAATCGGAAAACCCCTTAGAAGCTCCTATAAGACTAAGATTATATAGCTTAAGGCCCGGGAATTTAATAATAAAGTAGCTTAAGTAGCCGCCCTTAATAAATAAATTTCTATTATAGAAGAATAATTTGAGAACGTATATATTAAGCTCAAGAAGGCCCAGAAATTAATTAAGTAGCTTAGAGACGGCATAATTAAACCAAATATTACTACCCTAGCCAAGAAAAAAGGCAAGCAAGCTACTATATTAAAGCCTATACTAATGGATAAACTTGATTTACTACCTCTATTCAAAGACCGCCCGATAATAATAGTCCCAATATCGGCTATGGCCTATATGGCACTCCCAGACCATATTATTAATATAGGCGCAGGTATAATGCGAGTAATAGATACTAAGGACTGGCCGGAACATACTAGGAACTGGGTTATTCTGGCGGAGTCAAGACCACGCTTTAATTACAAGTAAGCTATAGGGATTAGGCAGAAAGGGGTTAATGGCCATTGTTTTCTCTTTTTTCTTTTCTATATTACGGCTGAATGATTCCCTAAATAAGGGCATTTAGACTTCTCTTTGGGGGTGTGTCAAAGTGTGACGGCTGGCGTAAGGGCATGATCTGCCAAGGACAGGATATCGGAAACAGGCACAAAACGAAGCTAAGCCGGAATTGCTTGGACGGAACAATACTAAAGGTCGAGGCATCCTCCCTACTTTGTTCCACAGCTTAGTATTTTCCAATACATGAGATTCTTTGAACTTTGAGCCTTCGACCATTGCATTGATCCCGCCGTCACACTGGTCGAATTTGACGAACCTCAACTAACCCCTCACAGAACTGCGCGATGAGATAAAGAACGCGGTCGTACACTCCTCAAATGACCTCCACAATCCCCTAAAAACGCTCGTCCTACCCAAGAACCGCTTCTTGCGATCTTCGAGGCCTTGGCGACTTTGTATGAAGTTCTGTGTACGAATTGCAATTGCATATCTGCGAAGGTGCGAAGGAGGGAGAATTCTACAGATATAGCTGCTTTGTAAGCTGCGCTACTAACCCGTATGCCAATCTGTCTCTTCGAGTAATTACCTTTTCGTTTGAAATGCCGTTATGGCTTCCTCGATTCAATTCTGAAGCATGGCTACAAAGTTCCAGTAAAGCAAAAATCCAGAACGCGTTGTGTTTGACAGTATACGACCGTACAAACCTTGGCTGATATTGAGTCCCGTATAAATGAATTAAACTATATCCTTTATATCCTCTTGTCAAATATCAATTTCTGTCCCAGTCCCATACTGCCTCGACCTAGATGCCTTAATTCCCTGTCAATAACTATTTCGTCAAGCCCCAAACCGTCATCTAATGTCTTTGCATAACTTGTCGTCGTGGACAATGTTTTCAAAACAAGTCCACTTCGCCCTGACGCAGCCTCTCTGCGTCTCATCAAAGCTAGAATATCTGCGCAAAGCGACTGCCCGCGACCGTAGTCAAGGTCATCAATGCCATCGATCACACAGAGAAAGATTCCTGGTGACAGAGCGAGAAGGTCTTTGAGGAAGGATATGACCTCCTTCCAATTGCCAAGTGGCGACTCGAGCAAGCTTAAACGTTCAGCGCTGAAGTCGATACTAGCGTCAGCATCTGGTCCAAGCAGAAGAATGAGCTGGCGTATCATCAGGGAGTACACGAGGGACACAACACCAGCTTCTCAGCATTGAATCTGTCTGCCATATTGGCGGTTTTTGCAGGCTCGCAGAAATGAAACATTATCTGGATTTTGACTCCAATACCGCATTAATCAAAGAGCCAGATAATGCGGATAAATATGAAGAGTAATGGTTTGCTGGTGGCCCCCAGACCCACAAAAATATAGATATCCTCGATGAGAGCCATTCGCGAAGTTTTGTTGCAACAGGAACGCAGGCGAAAGAAGAAGGTGGTAGAGTGTTCAACAGATCAACCGAGCTGCCGATTATAATTTCTCCAGCCCTTTCGATACTACGTTCGCTTGAATCTTAGAATTCCTCATACATTGCCAGCTGTTGATGATCTTGATAGTATGGATGAGCTTGGGATGATAGTGAAAACGCCAATAGATCGAGATGAGATCAGAGGACTCGCAACACGACTTATTGCAACCTTCTTCTATTTCGGGCAGGACAACAAAGAGGATATCACTAACAATGGGATCTGCTTACAAGCACTGAAACTTGCCCTAACTTCTAAAACCGTGTTCTAATTTATCAAAAAAAGGGGAATTGCTTTGCCGCCTTCCTAATGGATCTCCAGAAATTTACGAGACGAGAGGTTATTCAAGGAGGGGAGATTCAAGAATGCAGAATTTGTATTCAGGGAGAATCGATGTACATCACAGCCGGTCAATATATCCTCTATGGCTATTCAAGAGATGATCGTTGAGCTCCGATTCCAAATGCCGAATATCAAATTGCGAATTTCGGAACCATTGCCAAAAGTGAGTGCAGTGCTTCGCTCGGAGAGTGGTGAGGAGTATTCAATTAGCGGATTCCCACGGGTGCTTCTAGGGAAGAAAGAAGAAGCGCGTGGTAGGTTATATCTTTTGCAGATAACATAGCCCAACTTCCTAATTAAACATACAGGACACTCTCGAGGGAGCTCTGAAGATGTGGCGACAATACGGGGGCGCGCACTGTGGACTCCCCCCGACTTCTCGCGCTATCCATCGTTTGATTCTGGAATTGAACTCAGCGAGGGGTCTCACCCTGCAGGCTTTCAGTCGCCAACATCTGCTTCTGGAGCTATAAATGAAACGAATCTATTCCCTCAAGAACTTGATGCCCCAGAGACCCGGCAAGGTCCGGCTTTATACGAAGCAATACGACTGCAACGTGAACGCGACAGGATTCGAATAGAGGAGGTGGAGCCTTTGAAAGAAAAGTTGAGGCAGCTAGAAGTAGATCAACTGGAACTGACAAATCTTCTTACGGTATTGATGGGACCAGGGTAGGTAACAGTGCAAACTGCAGTTTGACAACGGTTTGGTGCAGTTTAGTGCAGTTTACATACAAATTTCGCAGTTTGCAAAAGGGTTTTTAAACTGCGGTTTGGATACCCTGCACTAAACTACACTGAGATACGCCGAGGCTAGACTAAACCCCTAAACTGCAGTTTAGACTGGACTGAGGTCAAACTATTACCTACACTGGACGGGACCTTCTGAGTCACCATGGAGGGAGTGGAGGAAGCTCCCCCAACACGCGATAGCTGTCCAAGTAGTGCGGATAGCCAAAGCTTAAATCGGTCAGATACTGTGCGATGGGTGGGCCCTAAAGCAGAATGAGTAATGTTACAGGATCTATTTTCTATTTTATAATGTTTTGTCTCAAAAAATAGACGGAAGTGTGTCAAATGGACGTTTCGTATCCAGCTCTCACGATACCGTTTTCCTCAAGCGCGTTATGGAAATAGCCCTTTGCATATTTAGCTATAGATTTTTGGCTTTCAGCTCTTCAGTGAATTCACCCTCGTCCAACTGACGTGACGTTTTTAGGAGATGTTCTACTCCTACCAAGAGAGCATTTAAGCGAGGAGCGGGGTGCAGCCGCAGGCGAAACTAGCTTTGAAACCCCCCCTTTTTTGGAACGCGAAAACGGCGTCGGGGCAGGATCACGACTTTACTAACTACTGATAACTTTACAATCACGCCTCTAGAAAAGAGGCACTATAGCTTAAATCAATTACAGCCTTTACTAATCTTAGTCTTATAAAGGGCTTATATTTTAACTAGGGATAAAAGCTGTAGGCGAAAAGTGTCATGGTACTCTGAAAACAGTCGCGTTTACTACAATCCGAAGCATGAATGGTACTATCCGAGTGAACAAGCTGCTTCTGAGATTCTGATCTTCCGTCAATATGATTCTAGGGCGGAGCTGAAGCGTAAGTGATGACCACAACCGTAGCTGTTGATGTTTTACAGTCTGACTAGGAGTGTAGCGGTACCTCATTCGGGATTTCAGGTCCCGAATCCAGATCCGAATAGACGACCACGCGAGAGCATTGAGCTTTTGGCATTCATGCTTTACGATTGAATGCATTTGGTGTGATGAGTGGTTTTGGCTAGCACTAGTATGCTTTAAATTTAGCCTAAACATGGACGGATAGTATCTCATCTTAGGATTTTTTGATAATTCGCTTTCCATTAATAGAGGGAGGCAAATATCTCAGTGAGTATTTGGATACTAGTGTTAGCAACCAATCCATTAAGTAGTGCATTGATAAAAAATAAAATAATTTTCTTTTGTTACATTTATTCGTAATTTTGGGCAGTTGTCGGCGCACACACTTGCCATGGCATACCTTCTGATAGCGGGCCAAGGAGGCGATTGGGATCCTTGAGTATGTAGTGGTTGTGGAGGAGGGCCTATTTGAAGAAGACGATCCTGATCGATTGTGTCATCGGATTTTGCTTACGAATGCGTATAGGACTATACAGTCACCACCAACTCATATTAAGCGAAACCCCTTTTCACACAAAAACCCGGGTGGAACACTTTCACAACTAACCATATTCCGCCTATTTTACTCTAAAAATGTCGCAGTGCCATCCTTAATTGGATTATTGCCCTTAAACTTATAAATTACAATAAACCTATGAAAGCGTGGTCGTAAAGTTACGAGGGGGTAAAGCACGACGTTTTGGCCTGGTGCCACTTTTACTCCAAAATTCGCTTAATTCTCACTTGGATCCAAGTCATTGCAATTCACGAATTAATTAGACAAGAGCCTCTTATTTCTACTATACTTGGAATCGTAAAAAAGTTTAATCTTATATAGTTTAATACAAATTATATTTATTAGGGAAGTGCACGCGTTGTGGGCGTTGTGGTATTTCGCCGCAGAATGGGCAAAATAGCTGTTTTGGTAGGGTCCCAGAAAGTGTCTCATATCAGTTCGCTAGTACTACACTTTGGAATTCGGTTCTAGGCAGTTTTTTCTACTAAGGTAATTAAAAATAAGAACAAGTATTTATATATTATTAAAACTTGTATATATAATATGATTTTTAATAAGAGAAATTAATTGCTAGTATAAAAAAGTATAAGAGTTTTTATATTAATTAATAATAGTGGGCAGTATAAGCAATACTGTGGCTCAGCTTCCAGCTCTATTAAGCAGATATCCTTGGAAAGCTAGATTGCAGGAGCCAAAGCCAGAGAAGGTCTCGTAATTATAATGAAAAGAGAGCAACGAAGGCGCCAAATTGCACTTGCAGATTGGATTCACGACTTGTCCTCCCAGAAGCTTCGGCACATTGAAGTATTCTATTGTTGGGTATCATTCGGTACAATCATCTAACGCGATCCGGAACACTACTCACTTGAGCCAGAAGTTCAAGGCTTGATACTAGTGGTCGTAGCTCTAGCAACCCACTTCCTCTTCACCATCCTGACCCACCTCCTGCGTCTCCACTCGCCTCGCCTCCCTCTTCCTTCTGTCTCTGCTTCACTGCCTTCTTCCCAACTCGGCAACACTTTCTTCTTCCCCTTCGTAGGGGTGGGGGTGTTTTCGAGTTCTGGGAAGAAATCCTGATCCATATCATCATACTCGTACCGAATGTCGTAAACCCATCTCTCACCCTCAGTCTCTACCTCCACCCCGGTGATAATCCTTTCCTCAACCCACTCCCGAGACCAAAGATCCAAAGCCCACTTCTTCTCGCTCCATTCCCAACCCGCTGGTGCTTTCACATCCTCGAAAAATCGTGTTCCCTTCGCTCGCTCGCCTTTGATTCTCACTTCTGATAATGGATCGTAAGGGGATGAGGAGAAGAGCCAGGATTCCCATTCTCCTGCCGAGGAAAGCTTCTGTAACTCGAAGATCTCCACTTCTCGTGTCTCTGGGGCGGAGTCGAGGACTATATCTGAAGCGATCCAGGAATCGAGGAGGGTTAAGGCTTGTTTTTCATGGGGCACGACGTGTGTTTTGTGTGTGGTGAGCATTTGACGTTGGATGGTGGGGTGTCCGAGGCTAGTGATTGTCCAGCCGACGAAGAGGAAGATTATTCGCCAGGGTAGGAGGTGGGAGGCGATGAAAAGGATCAAGGCTGAGAGGAAGGTGAAGAGGAAGAGGGTTGAGGAGAGGGGCTCGTTGCTGAAGTTTGTCCGGGGTGTGATGACAGATATGATTTTGTCGTGGATACGGGAGAAGTCTTCCATGCTGTTCTGGAGGTCTCGCATATTGCGGAAGAAGTCGCGAGAGAGCTCTTTGACTGGTTTGACAGTCGGGGCCGGGGCGAGAGGCGGCCCTGTTGCGGAATATTGGAAGGTGGCGGAGGTTTGTGAGGTTATTGTGGGTGGGGCGGCCGGATGTCGTGCTATGAACGAGGGGACGAGGAGAGCAAGGAGGAGCACAACCAGTGGTAGAACGGTCAGGAGATATGGGTCTAGGCAGACAAATGTATATACAGCCAGAAACGAGAGGGTGTGGGAGGTCGTATGCCACGAGAGGAGGCGGATGACCTTCGATTGGAAGACGAATACCACGCCGATTCTTGCATTGAAGCGGCGAAAGTTGGCCGACATTGTAGGGAGAGAGAATGAGGGCCGAGAAATATAATTTTGGGAGGGAGTTTCGGGGCGGGAAGAGGAGAGGTCTTCGACGGGTACTACTTGTTGCAATAACCTGGACATAATTAGCACATGCTTAGAGTAGCGGGGTTGCAAACGAACTTCTCCAGCAGCCGATCCTGCATACTTGATCCAGTCTCGGGAGCCTTTCCTTGTACGTTCCTAAAGCTGTCCTTCAAATTTTTGCCATGCTGCAATAATTTGTCCCTTTTCCTTTCCGGTGTTGCGAGTTCGGCGTCGTCGGACAGGTCATCATTTGTATCAAACGAGATGACCGGGATGGGATCATCGCGGTTGACGAAGGCGTCGACTGTGAATTCATCCATTCTTATGCTGGATCTGAGTCTGCGAGTACGATTCAAGAGGCTTGGAGTCGACCTGTCTGTGTTGGAGCCAGACCAGTCAAAACCGCATTCGTGGCGCTGTCTCTGCACAGCAGACCGTCACCCTCTCCCCTGCGGTAAGCACAAGTCTAACGCTGCGAAGGAATCTGATTGAACGCCTCCGATGTCCCAGATCTGATGGTGAACACAGAGTTGCGTGGGGTGGTGATGAATGTGGAGAAGTGAAGAACCCCGCGAGTTGGGGATGCTTCAGAAGCGGCCGCTCGGCAGCTTTGCAAGCACATGGGCAGATGCAAGCTCCTCCATCTCGGAAATTTAACGTCCACTGGGAAAAACTTCCATCTGCTTAATTTTTGGCTCATCTGCGCGTTTGATTGAACTCTCCAGAAAACGTGGCAAGCGACCCTCTCACAAGATCCTACAAGATGATGACGTGCACTTGCCGCGACTTGGCTGTAGCAACCGGACATTATTCTTGAACGTGCCCTTTTTGGCGCCCCGAGGAACGAGAACCTCAAATTGCAGCGACTAGACTTAATTGAAGAAAGCCCGGACTTGAGCAAGCCGGAAACGGTGAAGCTGCAGGCCAAGCGGCCCCTTTTCTGTTCTTAAGTTCTTAACGCAAAACAGAGATCGGCACTCGGACCGGACTGAGGAGCTGGATAGGGGGCTCTGCGCGGGTCAGGGGTAAAAGCGGTCGGTACAGTACGAAGGTGCAAGTACCGGCAAACAGGGAGGGGGCACTACCACGAGTAATTAATCCTCAAACGGTCAATCAATGGTCGAGTAATATCACCAGTGTTATGTATTTTGAGCTTGATGATTGCCCCGTAAACACGCTGCGACACGCCCGCTTCATCACATTCACGTATGATTGCGTTCATTCATCGATTTGCGGCCGCTTATTCGCTGGCGGCCCCATCTCGCTAGGGACTTTGAGTCCCATTCGGATCCCTGCCGATTTTGGTTTCCGTAGAGACACCACCAAGTCTGTACCTTACCGACGCATCTAATTTCAGGATTCACGAGCGACGGGAGACTGCAGCAGCGTCAAGTCAAGTTATTCTTCGACCATACCTCAACCGTAGTCAGTCTCGCCAGCTCGAACTGCTTCCCCTAACGATCTGGCCCGCGTTGCGTTGCGGCTTCGACCCTTGTGCGGCCTCAAGAGCTCGAGCTCGAGTGGACTCGACTTACCACGTCTCCCCTACCGGCGGCCCTGCAGAACCTCCTTGGAGATGAAATAATCTATTGAACACCTCGGCCCTTGGACGGACTGAGCTTCGAGAGGGAGGATCCTGATCAGACGCCGTCGCTCGACTTCCCGAGCGACCTAGACCCCTTCAATGCTTCGAGAACAAAAACTTCCTTCAGGTCCAAGACCAGAGTACTCACCGTCCAAGGCGTATGGGGATCCTTTCATCCTGACTCCCCCCCGTGCTGACTCGTATGCCAGACAAGAAAACGCCGACCCAGGCGCGAGACTGCGTGCCGGTTCTTTCAGAGAGCCTACTCTGCATGCCTCCTCCCGCAACAATCACTCCCTCTTCTCCTTTGGCGGGTATAAAGGTGCGGACGAGAACTCGACCGGATCCTACGATTTTCTCCCTTCTCCGAGTTTCGATGATCTACAAAGCAGTATAGCAACCGCATCCAATGATTTCATAAACCGTCCGTCAGCTGTGGAGGAACGTGGGATTGGGGGGAAACGCTCTATAGAGGCCATGGATACCACAATGACTGATGCACGAGCGAGTGTAGCGAGTCGTGCGCCAACAGGTCCTCGACCAGCACGGACAGGTTCGATATTGCGGCGGCAGAGCACATCTACAAGGCAAAGCAGTATATCTTCCACAGCCTCTGGGGCAACAGGGACTATGGACCCTCCAACTGCACCCCTTGCAATGCGGACACGGCGTCAGAGTCAATATCCCCCCATATCTGGTAGTGCTACTGCAAATGCTTCGAAGGCTCCAAGGAAATCTATAGGCCCAGGCGTCATCGACTCCGATTATACGCGACCAGCACAGAGGCGACGACCGAGTCTGGCGTCAAGTGTTTCATCGCAGGGATTGTCAGATGCTGGAGGAGTGTCGACGCGTATAAATATAGGTGGCGCACCGACTTATACAGATGGGGCTCGAGGGCTGACAGCCTCACGGGCAGCGAAGACAAAGTCACTTCAGCCCCCCTCCAGACAAGGCCAAGCACATTTGTCAGTGACAGCGGGAACTCCAGACCATAGCAGATCGTCGTCCTTTGCCGGCAAATCTCCTGGACGAAATAATGGACGGGGCACAAATACTCCATCATCTTCTGGGAAGCGGATGTCCGTGATGCCTGGTATGCCTACTTCATCTCACGCAACCGGACTCGGTGCCAGAACCGTGAGCCCAACAGATGCTCGAAGAGCGAAGCGGATGTCAGTCTTACACGGTGTGCCACCAATGCCGAATACTCCTCCTACTCAACCAGATATATCTATGATTCGCAATTCTTCAAGATCCCCTTCAATGTTGCCGAGAAAAATATCTACACCTTCCTCATCACGAACAACTCCAGACCTCAATCGTAAGTCTTACAGCTCTGGGCTTTCGGCTGGGTCAAATAACACATCTCGCACGTCAACAGGGTCTTTACAACCCCGATTACCACCTCCAACTTCGTCATCGAGACTGCCCACACCAAAACCGAGAAGTATACATAGTTCAGCTGGAAACAATGAAGAGGAGGAAGTTCCACCAGTACCTGCAATCCCGAAAGCCTACGAATCGCCCAAGGACTCTCCGGCTGAACCACCCTTCTTCAATAAGCGCAAGTCGAGTATGCCTTTTGACGCCAGTAGTATCAATAGCACTTCGACGAACAGCTTGTCGGGGAGAGGATCGATTCGAGAACCGCAAAAACAGGAACGAGAACCAAAAACCCGAAAATATGGGCATCCCTCAAATTCAGATGCTGAGCAGCAGAATAAGAATACCCCAGTGAAAAAGAAGAATTTGCAGCCTCTACGCCTCCCTCCCCTGAATTTGCTGCCTCTAAGTACTCCCACGACCAACAAGATTGCCGCTCTTCAAGAACCATCGTTCTCAGATGGTCAAGTCACGCCCCCGCCAAGACGTGTAAATGCCAAAACTCCAAGTACACCAATGACGGCCTCGAAAGCTTCCTTCTTCTCCCGAAATCGTCACGATGATAAAGCTGAGCAGAATCTTGCACATGCAAGAAGTAACAGCTCCATCTATCATCTCCGTTCCGAGTCTTCATCTGTGATGGGTGGCAGCGGCTCCGAATCGTCGAAACCAATTCCTATCAACAGTCGGCAAGCAAGACAAGCGGTCTCACCATTCATCTCATCGTCTCTTCCAAAGAACAACGGGGAGCATTCATTTATGCCGAGGCCAAAGACCAGTGACAATATAGCCACAGATGGTGCAACGGAGCCTCATCGGCCTCCACGTCTCACTGGACCACGTGCTCAACATAACGGCAAGCTGTCGAAGACTGACACTCCTCCACAAATATCGAGCCCTGAAGAACCCACCACACCCTCTTCGGCATCATCATTGCGGCGAAAGCTGAGTCTTGGTTGGAAGCGAAGTACATCCAAGAGCAATATTTCGCATGCAGCGAATGAAAGAGGGTCGGAGTATCCTCCTCAGCCTCCGAAACACGATAATATGCCTCCACCCCGTTTACCTGCCTCGGCTACCTTGAATTCACTTAATGGATACACTGTTCCAAGCCCGAGTCCTTCAATTAAATCTACGACATACCTGGATTCCAAGCGACGAAAGAGCTCAGTTTCAAATCAAAATGTGTTTGCTGGTCACGACAGAACGAAGAGCGACAGTTGGGGTGTGAATGGCAGTCCGAAAAAGGAGCAACCCACCGAGAAAGTTGCGATGACACCTCGAACGACATCATCGGTAATGTCAAAAATGTTGAACTCGAAGACCTCGAGTAGCACGATAAGATCGCCTGATCCGTGGACTGTGGATCTTGACAAAGATGACATGTCAGCTGAAGACGAAATGAGGAAGCTTGCTTCGAAACGGAAAGAGACCGAACAGGCTGCGAGACAGCTTGATGCTCTGCGAAAGCGAGCCACACCAAAAGATCGAGTTTCACCTCAATATGCAAGTCAACAAGCGACCAACCTCAACATATTTGAGCGAGGGGAAATTGTCGATTACAAGGATATATACTTCACAGGAAGTCCGAATGCCGCCAAGCACGTTGGTGAACTTTCGGTTGATTCTGCCAACTTTGGTTACGATGATGACCGGGGCGACTATAGCATCGTGCCGGGCGATCACTTGTCATACCGATACGAGATCATTGATGTCCTTGGGAAAGGCAGCTTCGGTCAGGTAGTGAGATGTATAGACCATAAGACTGGTGGCCTAGTCGCTGTGAAGATCATACGAAACAAGAAGAGGTTCCATCAGCAAGCTTTGGTAGAAGTCAACATTCTCCAAAAGCTTCGCGAATGGGTAAGTAAATCCGACTGTGCGAAAGATTGAGGCTTACAATTTCAGGATCCCAAAAACAAGCACAGTATGGTCAGCTTCACGCAGAGCTTCTATTTCCGTGGTCATCTTTGCATCTCCACCGAACTTCTGGACATGAATCTTTACGAGTTCATCAAATCGAACGCCTTCCGTGGTTTCTCTCTCAAGATCGTCCGACGATTTACAAAACAACTTCTAAGCAGCTTGTTATTACTGAAGCAGCACAAAGTCATCCACTGTGATCTGAAGCCTGAGAACGTCCTTCTCGCACATCCAATGCACTCTGAAATCAAGGTCATTGATTTCGGATCCTCTTGCTTCGAGAACGAGAAAGTCTACACTTACATCCAATCCCGCTTCTACCGTTCCCCGGAAGTCATCCTTGGTATGACCTACGGAATGCCAATCGACATGTGGTCACTCGGCTGCATTCTCGCGGAACTTTACACCGGTGTCCCCATCTTCCCGGGCGAAAATGAGCAAGAACAGCTAGCCTGCATAATGGAAGTCTTCGGCCCCCCTGAGAAACACCTAATCGAGAAATCCACCCGCCGAAAACTCTTCTTCGACTCGATGGGCAAACCACGACTCACCGTATCCTCAAAAGGTCGTCGACGAAGGCCGAGTTCCAAGAATCTGCAACAAGCGCTGAAATGCGATGACGAAGCATTCCTTGATTTCTTAACCAGGTGTCTGAGATGGGATCCAGATCGCCGCATGAAACCTGACGAAGCAGTCCGTCACGAGTTCCTTACGGGCCAGAAATCATCGATGCCAATGGCTGCCCCGCGCATGGTTCCTCGAAACGAATCTCCCATCAAGAGACACAACACCATCGCCACACCCTCCGGCAACAACCGGCCACTCCCCGAGCCACCAGCCACGAGCTTCAAAAACGGCACCGCCGTCAGAAACCGAGACGTCAGCGGCGGCAGCGGAGTGAGTCCCAGTAAACCGCCACTCTCGAACGTCAATGCTGGCGGGGCGGGAGTGAGGAGGATTAGTGGTGTGGGCGTTAATGGCGTTTCAGTGGGAGCGGGGAATAAGAGGACGAGTACTGGCGCTGTACTGGGACAGAGTTTACAAAGCGGAGCGAGTGGATTACCGAGAGTCACGACGAGGAGCGTGAGTGCGCGCCAGGAGATGGGGATGGCGAATGCGGGCGCAACGGCTGCGATGAAGGGACGGTCTTGAATGATTGGGTAATCTCACATATGAGCATTAAGATGGATGGGTGGATGGATGGGGGTGGCATTGATAGGGTATTTATGACGCACTGGTTGGTTTGGCGGTTGAGCATGAGCATTGTTTGCGTGGCGTCAGTATCAGCGCAACGTTTTTTCGCACCCTCCTTTTGACTGAGCGGATTTCTTCTTCCTTTTCTTTGGCGGCTCTTTTTTAAGAGATGGGGGTTATTTCAGATGGTCCAGCGATACTGGCTGGTTGGCGTTAGATTCCAATTACGGCAAAATCGAGCCCGGAGAAAGAAACGACCCGATTAAAGACGATAAGTATGGGATGAGGGATGATATGTATATTAATGTTTTTTCTTTTCTCTGGGAGGGACGAGAAAAAGATATTGGGAGAGGGAGGGGAGAAAGTGGAGGGAGTATAGAGTTCTGTTGGGAATACAAGAGAATACAAAGCTAAAGTCCTGTCTTGGCTGCTACTATGCGGCTGGAGAGGAGTTTCTTCATCGGGTTCCTTGCTCCTTCTGTTGTTGTGATATACTGTGACGTTATTCGGACGGCCCGGATGGGATCCAGTGATCTACTTGTTTGTGTGTTTGCTTGCTCGTTTCTGTTCTTTTCAGATTTGCTGTTCTGGAATGGAATACATGGGAAGGAAGCGGGATTCATAAAGGACGGCGGGCGAAAGTGTACCGAGTACCACTCGTTTGAGAGAAAGGCAGGGGAGAAGAGTGAAGTGTTGATTGAGGAAGGTGGTATGCATCTCAGGTGTGGAGAGGAGGGCCTTGGTAAACCAAAGCCCTATTTCTAACAGGAGCACCTCGAGTGAGCAAGCAGGCATTTCCTTTCGCTATTTGACAGCCCTGTACGGTGCGGAGTGAGGGACTGAATCATTTTTGGGATAACTGCAAGAAGCTTAGCTTGGTCCGCATCTCAACCTTGGTTGAGAGCGGAAACTAAAGCGGTCAATCCCAACTAGAAACCCGCACCTTAGTCTACCTTTAAATTCTTTTCGTATTTATTGCTCTCCATTCAAAAGCAAAAAGATCAAAGTATAACAGCTACGTCAACATTGCCTTCAGAGCAAAATTTCTTCCCCCAGTCTCGCACATCTCACCAAGATGGCGCCTACTATCTCTCAAAAAAAGCTCTCTGGGCTCAACACCTATCAAAGGCCATTGCTCATGCGAGTGCGCAATCTCGACCCCTCCATCGTTCTTCGTTTTATCTCTTCTGCAACAAGATCTCATCTTCACTCACGAATAGAAATCATGTTCGAACGCCTCCGCAAGTCCATAAACCAAAAGTGGCCTACTCAGAAGCCAAGCTTCACAGAAGCAAATATCCACCCAGTTCTGAAAAAAAGACGAGCCTTTGTCGTGACAGGCGGTAATGCAGGTTTTGGATTCGAGCTGTGCGAGATCCTCCGCTCAAGTGGAGTAACCATATACATGGCCTCACGAAGTCAAGCAAGTCTTCTCTCCCACCACCTCTTCTACACTTCGACTTTCCCAACAGCAAAAGCAGACCAGGGCAGAAGCCGCAATCAAAGCCATCACCTCCACCTTCTCAACCCCCAAAACAGACGGCAAGCTCAATTTCCTCCATCTAGATCTGAATGACCTGCTCTCCGTCAAAGCGGCAGCCACTTCCTTCGCCTCTCAAGAATCCAAGCTCGAGGTCCTCTGGAACAACACAGGCACTGGTCCCAACGGCTTTAAAGAAGGCTAAAAGATAGTCCAAAGGTTCGAGACAATGATTGGTATGCACCGTATCGCGACTCTCCTCTTCACCGAGCTACTTATCCCACAACGTCAAAAAGCCGCCTCTGAAGGGAAAAATGGCAGGACCAGAGTAGTCTGGAAACTCCTTGGGGATGGCAGAGGAATGGAGCCCGAAGAATGGCATCGAGTTCTCCGCTCTCGATAATGGCACAGGGAGTCTCTGGATCAACTATGGGCAATCGAAATTGGGGAGCTGGCTCTTCGGCCGAGAGTTTGCGAGAAGGTAATGGGAAGATGGAATTGTGAGCGTGTTGCAGAATCCGGGGAATGCGAAGGGTGAGAGTTGTGCGGGAAGTCCAAGGCTGATGACGTTGCTGTTTAATGCGTTTGTGTTGCAGGAGACAGTGTTTGGGGGCATACACGGAGCTTTATGCTGGACTGAGTGAAGAGGTTGGGTTGCAAAAGAATGGGACTTATGTGATTCCCTGGGGACGGGTGTAAGGGGAGGAGGCGATTCCCCCTAAGTATTTGGTGAGTACTTTGAGGATGGAAAAAGAGGGGGATTGGGGTATGAGGAGAAGTTCTGCAGGTGGTTTGAAGAGAAGTGGGGGAGGTTTGTTTAGATGGGAAATGTTATGGAATTATCAGAATTAAAGAGACGTAAGCAGATCGCAGGCTTGCCCAGGAGTTTGTGAGATTCTGCGAGGCAGTTCTTACTGGTATGCCAAGTGGCTTGGTCCTTAGAATCATCAATGCAAGCCCAGAAGCAGGCGATAGAAAGAAATGCCCCAACATGACAAGTTAGACTCAACGCATTCATTTATATAAAGCCAAACAGCAATTGCTCATCGCCCCATACCCAACCCAAAATATTTCACTCAATAGGTGAGACCTGAAAGATTCTCTGTTTACATGGAGATGTGTATGAGGAAAGAAGAACCGAGAGGGTGAAGTGTGACGTGGGGGGTGTGCGTCACGTGCAAGGGCACCTCACACCCCTGTCAGGCTAGTCCAACGCATTGTTTACACAGCAACCGCGACCACGTCAATCCCAGGAAAAAGTCAGAATCGCAACAAAAGCCCTTGCCTTACTTCCCTGATCTCTCCCACGGATGGAAATACATATTTCAGTTCTTCCAATCCAAGAATCATAAGGCTATTCAAGCAATGGAGGCCGACAACCTCCGTACAGCGTCGCTGTACATCAATAACCAGCTTCTGTCGCGAGGACTGCTGCGAAATGGGCAGAGCATTGAGTTTGCGCGACCGGATAAGGGCGAAGGAGGGCTAGAGGCTACGATGGGAAAGATCATGAGCGTGGTCAATGATTTGATTTTACGAAGAGATGTAGGTTTTCATTTTCAATCGTTTGCATACCGGCGTGCTAACCGCCCAGCGCGATGCCACACAACGCGAAACTCTTACAACGACGATTCGCACATTACGCGCCGATTCTCTGCGACAAACTACTGATCTTGAGCGGTTGCAAGGCAAGTACGTTGAGGCGCAACGGAAGTTGGGGCTGGCCGAGGCGACGGAGCGCGCCATGAAGCTCCAGATGAAGAGCGCAGAACAAGCACAAAGGGGGCTGAAAGAGGAAATGGGCCGAATGAAGCTTTTGGTTCAACAAACGCGGAATCAATGTGCGGTGGAAGTCAGAAAGAGGGAACGCGTAGTGGAAGGGCTGAAGAAGCATGTTGGTGATGGGCGAGTCAGAGGTGGTGGGAAAACAGTCGGCGTCAGGGAAATCAATGTCGTTGCCGGTGTTGGAGCTGAACAGCAACAAGGGAGCGCAATGGGTGTAAATGACGAGAGATATGACTTGAGAAGCGAAACAAACGAGTTTTTGACTGAATTGGCGAGGGGGCTCAGCGAGGAGAACGAGAACATGACCGCCCTGGTGAGGCGGACAGTGGACACCCTGAGATCGTTGAGTGGCTGTGAGAAGGAGGGTGAGATCCACCAAGAAGGAGGGATGGTTGTGCCTATCGAGATGGGATATGAAAACTTGACCCAGGAGATGGATGCTGTGATTGAGCATCTGAGGAATCTCCTTACGAACCCGAGCTTCGTGCCGTTAGAGGAAGTGGAAGTCCGCGAAGAAGAAATTATTCGCCTAAGGGAAGGCTGGGAAAGAATGGAGAGCAGATGGCGAGAAGCTGTGCAAATGATGGATGGCTGGAGAAAGCGGATGGCGAGAAGTGGGCAAACGGTCAACCTGGAGGAATTGAAGATGGGATTAATGCTAAGCCCTCTAAAGCCCAAAGAGGAAGAAAATTACAACGCCCACCAACTTTCGACACTCATGGAAGAAGGGGAAGGGGATACACAGGCAGATATTGATGCAATGGAAGATGCAGAACCGATGGAACCAAACTTCGATGATATGGACGAATCCGATCTCTCCAGTCTCTTCGAGGATGAGCCAGTAGAAGAAATGGAAGAGGCGTCTTTGGAGCAGGAAGAACAGAATTGGACTGTGCATTCTGTGTCCACCACATCAATGGGGCCTGCACCTCAATTGTCTCCTCTTCGAGAAACGAGCGGCAATCGGCCCTCAGCGCCGAATCTTCCACGAACTGAGAAGGATGGTTTCACAACAATTGTAGAGGAGAATACATATGATCTTCTCCAGCTGGATGAGCTGTCTTCGGCGAAGCACAAATCCACACCTCGGCCCCAACGCAGAAATGACTCGGCCGGCAAGTTGTCAACGCCCCCAGAAGACGAGATCTCCCTCCTCAAGACATCAGAAGCGAGTCAAGCACAACAATCAAGATCATCGTCCACATCACCACGAAAACCATCTCGGCCGACACTAAAACCTGCTTCAACTCCACGCCTACGAACAGATAATTCGAGTAGGCTTCCTCGGCCCAGAGAAAACGTAATGCCGCAACAGAGTCCATTAACAATGGCCAGTATAGCTGCCAAACTTGCAGCTAGCGAACGAGAGGCCGATGCTGCGAGAGTGAGAGCTAAGATCAAGGCTGCCAGGATGAACAGGACAGCTGCTCCTGCTCAAGCAAGTTCTGATCCAAAACCAATGCCCCCGCCACCTCGGAAAGTAGGAGTGGAAGAGGAACCTGTCAAGAGAGCGGCTACAACTAGCACTGCAGACACCGAGGCAATTAGAGAGGATGGAGACAATGATGGTAGAAGCAGGAAGCGAAAGGCCACAGGGCGGAATCAAGGTGGTCGAGCGAGTCGGAGGAGAAGTACGTTGAGTCCGTGGGAATTAGAGAGCTTGATATTAGGCCAGGTAGGACAGGCTTCGCCTGCGAAAGGAGAGAGTTAGTGTTTCTTGCTCTGGCTACGAGTTCCTGCGGGTTCAGAACCCTAGGCAACACGACCACGGCCTTGAGATCTGATAACAGCTCCCGCGGTTGAGGAAACCCAGGCAGCACAGTATCAGTCGCTGGGAAATTAGAGTACTCCGGTTTGTAGTAAGTGGTTGTACATGGGTTGATGGCGTTTGGGCTGGATTGGGATATTCATTGGATTTTATGAGTTGATGAGAGTAATGAGTTGTATAGATTCTTGTCTAATATGATATCTTATCACATTACCCCTGGGAGGTACGAACCGTTCCCCTTTTACTTTAGGCCAGGTAAAAAAGACCTATACACCATTCACCAGATATAATTGATCACTAAAGAAAATGCAAGAAGACAGACACAAGTTGAACCCAAGGGATGCATGAAAGATTCTCGAGACACACTTTGATCAACAGGATGCATTATTTTTTAAGGAAAGTATGAAGTCAATTCTACTAGCATCATCTATGTACCCCAATCCCCCTCTCCACCAAAGACTGACAGAATCCCAGATTCCGCTCACGCCCAAGCCTACCACCATCCCACCAGCCGAAAGGTAATAAATGAAAAATTATCGCTGTTAAGACTTCCATCTACCACACGAGATTATGTACAACCCACATCCTCCAATCTACAACCCAATTGCCGAACAACGCGAGTAGATTTACTCGTTGTCGCTGGCAAGCGCGCGGGCGAAGCGGCGCTTGCTGAGGTTGTACTCGACCGCGCGCTTCTTGGCGGCAGCGGATTGTGTGAAGGCGACGGAGCCACCGAAGGGGCCGGCAAGGGCAGAGTTCTGGAGCTTGGCAACGCAGACGCCCGAGGCGCCGCCGACGGAGCCGGAGCAGGTCATGCCCGCTGGCATCTGGATGGCGACGGGGAAGTCCATGGTCTGGGCAGCGGAGAGACCGCCGATGCCGATACCCGGGACGTTCTGGGTGACGGTTGCGGTCTTGAAGGCACTCGGGTCGGTTCCACCGGAAGTGGCGTCGACCATGGCGGTCAGGGGTCCGGCACCGTCCTGGTTGACTTGGTGGAAGGTCATCTTGACGGTTCCGTCGTCCGCGGTGGTGGGCATGCCCGAGGTGGCTCCGACACCTGCTGCGGCCTTGACGGCGGTCTCCTTGGTGCCGGAGGGGGTCTTGGTTCCTCCGTTGGCCGCACGCTCACCGAGGGAGCGGCGGAGGACGTTGGCGGCGTGGACCTCGCGGGCCATCTTGGCTTCAGTTGCGTTGCCAGCGGCGCCCATGAAGAGGGCCACCATCTTGGCGGCGTCGACTGGTCCACCACCGTTGGTCCGGCCGAGAGCGGTGGCCTTGCTGGTGCCAATCTCGTTTTGGCGGATGATGGAGGTATCGGCCTCAGAGCCGCATGCTGGGGAAGCGCAATCACGAGGAGTTCCATCCGCAACTGAATGGAGTTAGCATCGGCTAAAGGGTGATGAGGCCGGAGAAGCTTACCGGAGAGACCTGGCATGGTCACACCGTTAGCACCGACAACGGAGTCAATGACACCGTGTGCGAAGACATTAGTGGCAGCGAAAGCCGCAAGGAGGATGACTGATGAGTATTGCATCTTGAAGGTTGTGTGGATTGGAAGACTGAAAAAGGACAATTAAAAGATTGGTATAAACTAGAAGAATGAATGCGACCGGCGCCGGGCTGGATTCAAAAAGGATTGAAGAGATGGAAGAGGCTGAAAAGGCTGAAGATGCTGGATGCTAGATGCTAGATGCTGATGATGAGAAAGTTACTTTGAGCGGGATACCAAGATCCTCTTATACTAGACGGGCGACCCAAGATTGTCGTTGGAAAGCTTGGTCCAGAAAGACCGGATGCCGCGGCTTGGATCACTTGGTACACCTGGGCAAGGCTTCTAACATCGAAAAGCATTTTGGATGTTTAGAAACTTGCATCTAACCACCAGTTGGCGACACTTCTCCGAGACGTGAAGAGCTGTTCACGGATCATCATCGAGAAGAGGCTGTGCAAGGCCCAAATCTGGAGCAGAGCAAAGTTACGATTGGCTGCTGGGGCAAACAACCAGAGGGGAGTAGAGTTGTTTGGAGAGATCTGATCAACAAGGTAATGCTCAATCATAGGCCTCGTTTTGCTGGAGTCCTCAATGCATCGCCTTTGATGGACCACTAGAGGAGGATCAATGGGGATCACAGGGGTTGCTGCAGTGCCGGGGTTTGCCCCTCCCAAGATCTGAGGCTCTGCGTGTTTGGATCTTGGCCATGTCACGACTCGATGGACCCACCAAGTCGACTTCGATTGGTGCTTCACATTTCTGGCGCTGTTGGGGTTGGAGCAAGTGATAAGATTGTGTCAGTTGCTCTCAGAGGTGTCAACGAGGATGAACGGTAGTCCAGGGATGTGGTAGATCCTCAAACGCCTTAAACTTCACGCTTGTTCAGCATAGGCCAATTGTCCGCGCGACAGAAACAATTCTGAATTAAGATCTGGTGAATGGATCGTAGGATCCGCTCCAGGAAGAAGCTTTGTGGGGCGTTTCTTCGCCGAAGCTGCCAGAACGGGACTTGGACCTCTCGCATCAACTCGGAACAGCTTGGCATCAACAGAGTGTAGCACAACCCTACACAGCCACTCGCCGTCGACGTAGGTATGTTTGACGAACTCGTCTGTATGCTGAGGTCAACTGAAGTCTTCAGCCAAGGTGCGACGGCTTGCCCAGCTCACTCAGCACGGTGATATCTTGCAATGACAGCGGCGCTGCGTCTCTAAGAGGAGCTGGGATCCGTTGTCTTCCATCTGGAGCGCTGGCTTCGGCCATTTGGCGGGAGGAAAAGATCCGCTTATGCATTGAATAGGGATCAATCACCCACAACCAAGGAAGAGTAATCCGATGTTCTGATTGTGTCCCCAAAATACGAACTTTGAGGCGTCGTGTCCGAGGCTGTGGAGTTTCAAGATGAGGAGTTGTCGTCTCCCGAGGGTGCAGGGGCCTCTGAGCGCTAGGTAAGCAAAACGGCACTCACGTGACGGGTATCCCACCAAATTTCCATTGCTTCTTGGGACCAAGAATCAGACAACTTTGATAAGCTTGGGCTCCGAAAGACACGAAGCTTATTTCCCGCCAGCACTATGAAGCACAAACCTGTTTGCAGATCGCCAAGCATCTATCCGTCACTGCTGGAATTATCACGAAGTATACGAGACTGATTACGATTCGGAGCTTCTTTCTTCCATCTCTGTCGCGCAGATCACCTCTTTCAGCGTTCAGCTTTTGACTTGATGCGCATAATCTCCTAGAGACTCAAGCGTGTCTCAATCTTACTTCTTACACAAATCTTCTTCTTCCGTCGTGCATCTCCGATACAAGTCCCTGGATCAGATCCGGTCGACCAGTCTCCGCTGTTGAGTCTAGAGCGTATGGTGGGTGTGAGCCCAGGCTCTCATATCATGCGATATCTTAGGAGGTCTGGAGCGGTGTTCTCAAATAGCCACGCCTCCATTTTCATCATCCGGGAGCCTCGTCGTCTAGATTCTTTTCTCTTTTTCTCCACATTTTGTGCCTCCTCGCCAAAGCCAAGCTGAACGGCAAGGCACCTTGGCGATGTTACAAGCCATCATTGGGAATCAAGTGATATAGACCCGCAAGAACCCCACAAATGATACAAAACCTGGCGCAGCTTAGGCAAGGCAGGTCCATCCGTATATGCAAGAGATGTGTTAATCAGCAGCCAGTTCTATGACAAGAGTTGTCAGTGGAGGCTTGAAGTCAAGGAGACACGGAAAGAGATCTGACACCGAATAGCATTCAACTATCCAATGCCCCATGACGATGTCCAGTGTGTTGCATGCCAGCGGAGGACATGCCAAATGCCCTTTTCGGACGCCTTCATCGTCTTGTAGAAATGGTTGGAGGAAAGCTATCCTCACGTGATCTCTTGCTTCCAACCTCAACGCCACGTTCAGGGATCAGAAATATGGCAGTCTTTGCCATCCCTGCAGTAAGTATATTGGATCTTATATAGGAACCTCCTGATGCTTTCGCCAGACCCAAGGGCTCTGACCGCCATTTACCTTCGTAACAGGATCGAATCATGGAGTGCGAACGCCAACATTCCGCAGCATCGGGACAGGAATGAGCTGGCCCTTCCAGGCCTTCCAGGGACTTTGCGGACCTTCGAGAAGCAATTCAGCCGTTCGACGATGTTGATCGCCTCACGGTAACCGGATTCGATCTGAGAGCGGCAGGCTCTCCGAACTTAAGCTCAAATGCTCTCGCCAATAATACGTTCGAACAGCCAGGAGCGCCATCTGATTAATCGCGGCAACTCGAATGCCAGCTCTCCACTCGCAGCATTAATACATTATAGCCTCATCAAGCGACTATGCACGGTCATGGGCCGGGTTGACCCTTCCGTCCATCGCGCATCGCCCCTCCAAAAGCAAGAGACGAAGGCGCGCCTGACGCAACTAACCGCGAGGTGGTGCAGCCTCGGAGGTCGAGCTGAGCTGAACGTCCCTTCGCTAGACCGATTTCCAGCCATTTTGCGACCAATCGACGCCCCTGGGCGCTAAGCGAGACCCACTACTCCTGAAAAGACGCTCACCTCAGCTGAACCAACATCGAACCCTCACCAGACCCCAGGACCCCAAGACGCCTTCATCAAACCTGCCCCAAGTTGCCCCTCACCAACGATCTGTGACAGCTGTCCGCACGGCATCTGCATCTGCATCTGCATCTCCGATGCTCGCCCCCCCCTTATCCACACCCAACGGCCGGCCAAGGTGCGCACATGGCGTGCTGTCTGCCCTGTTCGCCTGGACGAGCAATTTGCACCCAACCCCAACCCCGGGACCTCGCCGCACCGTCGGCTCTTTGCGCGTCAAATCCCAGCTTACGCGGTGTACGTACAACGACAACATCAGCGCAGCTCCATCCACCGCCCACGACGGTCCCATTGGCGCACATACGGCGGCGCGGGAGAAGGTAAACATAGAGCGGACAGCAGTCAGATAGGCTAATTAACGGCAACTCTGTTGCACAGTGGCCTTGTGGTGAAACTCGAGCGCGAGAGGGGAGCTGTCCCGTACGAGCGCGGTACGATGCGGGCGTAAGAGAGGATGCACCGAAGCGGGAGATCGACGTTTCGCTCTGAGCTGACTTGAGAATCTAGCCTTGCATCAATAAATGCTGACCCAGCCCTACAGAGTAGACCACACTACACCCCTTCGGTGCGTCGTGTGACTTTTGCACGCCGGCTACTGGCCAAGTCTCAGCGCCTCTGGCGATATTTAGTAACATTTAGTAACTCCTGATCTTGGGAGGGGGAGGGGTTCATCAAGGAAAATTGCTGGCGCTCCGAGTTTGAGTGTGCCGTCACCTCACACATGCAAGATGCAACGAGGCTTCCGAAGGCGCATGGCATGGTATTTGCCTCCTGCCATGGTCTTGTGGGCAACAATGCCTGCTTGGCTGAACGCAGAAAACCGCCGGCAAGAAATCAAGACAATTTGAGACAAAGCAAAGAAATGAGCTTGGGTGTAATCCCGAACAGGGGTGGAGCCTCCACCTTCCTTGTCTCTGGCAGTCACTCACTCACTTATCGAGGTAGGCATGCCGAACGCAACGCAACGCAATGCGAAGGTCCTGCCTGGCCCTGACATGAAATGACCTAAACGACGCCCGCCAAGAGCTCCAGTTGCCATATCCACCCCATGCGCGTCAGATCACGGCTGACAATTACTTTTATCACTCCTCTCCGTCGAGTGTCACAGACCCCTCCATGGCCCTATAACCAAACTCGGCAGTCGTATCGTGCGTGCCTCGAAAAGTAGAATCTACATAAGCCTCCCTTCCCGCCCTCCTAGATCACACCTCCCTCCCTTCCCCCTCGCCACATTTGTTTTACCTACCAACCTTCCTTCATTCCTCCACCCCCAACCCCCAAAATGCCTGTCCTTTCCGCACCTACCGGCTCCAGCAGCCTGCCTGGCCTGGACCTCCCCTATGCATTCCTCGGCGGCTCCCTCCTCCTCGTCCTCGGAGTATTAATATCACGAAAGTCCAAATCCAAATCCAAATCCTCCCCAAGAAACATGTCACACCCACCAGTCTCGGAGAAACCATCACCTCAAAGCCAGGAACCATATATTTCTAATGCGTCGGCCCCGCTGACTTTCCCCCAACATCACCACCCTCGCCCCCCACCACCATTGCCATTCACACCCCCAACACTCTCGACAACCATCTTTCCCGCCCCCATCGAATACGCTCCCGGTTCTGACTCGCAAACCTCTTCGCCGGGCGGAGGAGGAGGACTAAACCAATCTTACTACGACTCGCCCACGACGCTGGAATTCGAGTACCCGTTCGACTCGACCCCTTCCTCCTCCGAGCCCGCGGTCCTCTCCAAGCCCAATTCAGAAACCGGAACCGACGACCCCCTCCCCCGCCGCCGCTCCTACACGAAAACCCATTCCACCTCCTCGACCTCCTCGACGCTGTCTACAGGATCCGTCACCATCACGGGCGAAGTGATCCAAGCCGAGGGCTGGCGCCGCCACACCCGCGTCTTCGGCGGCGGCGTCTGTAAAGCGTGTGAGGAGAGCGAGAAAAAGATGAGCGCTTGACTACAGGAACGGGGACTGAAGGAGCCGCCGAGCATTGAGGTAGTGCCTTGGAAGCCTCCAGAAGAGACGGGGGAGGGGGGGTAGGGTGTGTCACGTGAGGATGCACTTTTGGGATTTGGGGAGAGAGATGATTGGGTGGAGAGGGAGGGAGCGCAGGGGAAGTGAGAGGGAATGAGCGAGTGTACGAATAGTTGAAGCAAGCAAGCATTTTTGACTCGTTAGAAGGGGGCCAACCGACTGGGTGGGAAAGTTTCGGTTTCGAAGGGGGCGGCGCCGCGAGGCGAAGGCGAAGAATTACGCGTACGAGGAAACCATGGAATTTTGCGTTAGGAGCAGGATAGGATCGGATAGGGTTGATATTGGCTGGAGTTAGACGCATCGGATGGACTACTGCTTAAAAAAGACTTTACTGTTCATAATTGCATCGGAGTTTGGTCACATAATCGGTTACCATGTATTACAGAGCATCTCATAATGGACGGAACTGTTCGAAAATAGGACTTTAGCTTATTATAAGATGCAAAACACTGCAAAGGGTGTGGACTACATTTGTCATGGCAAAATCTGTAAGGCCATGTTCCTTTCGTAGTCCCTCGTCCTTCATCCATCATGTATGTACATCTCCTCGTAATTTACACAGAAGCCTATCAAAATATTCTGCTAAAACTAAATGCAAGTGCATCCGTCCATCGCCAGCAGCAAAGCACGCTCAATAAGATTCCAAAAAAGCAACTGTTGCCCCGTGCTTATTTGCGTCTTTCATCAGGCCACCATCAGCCCCTAAGGCAAGAAAATATTTGAACGAGTGTGGTTATTCAATAGCACTGACGTTTCGTTCTAAACCGGCGAACCTTTGATTCCTCATCGCCGCGTCCTGACTCTCCACAAACTTCACCCAGCCTTCTGGGTCTTGCTCCTTGAGCGTCTGCCTCAGTTCGCTTGCTTCATTCCTCAGCTCTCGCATGATTGATTCTTCACCCTCGTTCAAGATTCTATTCTTGATTTCTTCACCGCTTGTTCCATAGACCATTGCTCTCAGCAATTGGAGATGCACAGGCTGATCATGGGCACCTGGTGTCCCGGTAATGCCGTTTTCGATATCAGGCTTCGTTATGTCTCGTCGGAATTGCTGCCCGAATCGGTGCATAAGACCCTCTTCTTGAGACAGGGCACGAGAGGCAAGCGATACGTCAGAATTGTGCCTCGATAGCATCGGACGAAGACCCTCCTCGTCATCAGACGGAGCTGTCTCAGCGAGGACTGGTTCGGTATCAGAGATATGAGACTCAGCACCTCCGTTGAGCTCGAAGCTTTCTGATGGGCTGGCCGGACCCATATCCGGAAGAGGCGGCGAGGTCACCGAGGATGGGAGGCGTGTCTCTGGGAACTCGTCTTCGAATCGTTTGATCATACCCTCAAGGGTTCTGTCGAGGAATAGGAGGCGTTCTGAAGCGATGTTAGCATCATTGGTTAGGGATTTCTCGGCAACACGCTTACGGTAGTTGTTTCCATCACCGGTCCTCGATTCCTTTAGCAAGGCAGGTTGAAGACGGGCTCGTATCTTGCGCGCGCTTCCAAGCAAGTTCTTTGACATATCTTTGGCTTTGCCACCACGGACATGGGGCGACTTCGGGGTCGCCGATCCGCTGCCTGGCTCCGACAAATCGGAGAAGGTACGATCTGCCGATGGTCTCCTTGAATCATGGGCTCTATTTCGCAAGCAGATACCCAAAGCCTTGACTACACCTGTTCCACCGATAACATAATCCTCGTCTGGGGCAGCCTCATCTTCATCGTGGTTCTCGTGGAAGCCTTCGACATGTCCTACGAGGTGCAATAACACATCCGGCACGGCAACTTCCTTCTCTCCCCCGTGAGGTTCTGATACTGTTGCAGATGCTTGACTGATCTCGGCCACCGGACCGCGCTCCATGTTCCATAGGCAGTAGGCGACGACTTGTTTTGCCAATGCCTTCACAACTTCGCTTGATTCAGGAGAAGGCACTTCAATATCGATGCATATGATCGACTGTGAAACTCGAACGGCTGCCATGAGCGAGGCATACAGAGCGCAAGCCTCTTCTTGATTGGCTTCATCCCGTGCGTCTGCCAAAGTCGCAAGTTTGGGATTTTCCATCATGCTCACATGAGCCAAGTTCGGGCTCTCCGGTAAGATTTCCGCGAGCGCAATGGCTTGCTCTGGAGTCATGGATACATCGGTGAGGTGTATACGCTTAAGCGTTGGCAGCTTCGGAAGGTACCTGAAGTTTCGTCAGCAACCCCGTCTCACATCTCAATTCTTCCAAAGAACATAATGAAATTATTGGGCCGGCATGCAAGTGCCATTTTTGAGAAGACGGCTTTGCCGTGCGACCCCAGGGCTGAAGTGTGTGGGCTGAGATCCCAAAAAGGAGGTATGTCAGCCTGAAGGCGCGGCGGTTTTGAGCCTCATCAGCCAGCCGCGACGCCTACCCGATCCGGTATGTCCTCGTATTTACATACTTCTGGGGCTGACAACACAATAAGACGCAACGTACCTTCGGAGTAATGAGAGCGCACTAGGCTCGGAATCAAACAAGTCATGATTCTGCGACAAATCGATAAACCGAAAATTGTTCAGCTTCGCCAGAGCCGGAAAAAGCGCCGATAAAGATTCCGGTGTGAGATTGCAGTCGGCAAGACTCAAAGCGTAAAGAGCATTGTCCTCTGTTAAGGCATCTGCAATCACGCCCAGCTGGTCCCTTAAGTCGTTCCCGCCAAGATCTAAACCCTCACACTTTCCGTCTCGGATGTAGCGAGCAACATGTTGCATTCCTTCGGGGGTAATTTTGTTTCCCGCAATTCCGAGACGTCGTAAACCAGACTTGATGACTCCATCGATTAGATCGCCCAATTGTTCAGTGGTCATGCCACATTCGGCGATGTTCAGCAACTCGAATTCTCGACCAGCTAGCCGCTCGCCGATGGCTTTACTCAAAACGCATGAAACCTCTGGATGAGTAGTGCTTGAGGCGCTTACAGTACGGGTGAGATGGCTAGGCCCGTGAGACGATGTCCCGGCCGGGGGCTGGGGGAATGGAACTTTCGATAAATCCATCGATTTGAGTGACCGACACATGGCGATGAATGTGCAAATGTAGCGCCAGCCATCTTTCCCAATCTTGCCATTGTTTTTGAAGACGACCCGCTCTACAAAGCCACCTTGAGGGCACTCACCCCATTTCCCCTTCTTGACTTTCTTCCTCTCCCACTCGGGACATTTTGCGGCGAGAAGACCGGCGAGGATGACACGGACGCCTTCATCAGTGAGTCCACAGTTCTCCATTACCAATTCTTTCACAGGAACAACTGCCAAGTAGTCGCCCAAGGTAATGAGATCTGGGAGCTGAAGCCAGTATCCGGTAAGATCCAGCTTGGCCACGACTCCGGGAGGACCGAGATTCGTTGGAGCAGCGCCGAGTTGCTCAGTGATCTTTTTTAATATTGGCGTTTCTCGCAGCTGGCAGCATCGTCTGTATATTCGAACTGGATCCGTGGTAGGTGAGGCTTGGGTCTTAGGAGTCGCCGTTCCCGGTGGCGTACTACCTACAGAGCTATCACTGCCATCCCTGACCAGCTCAACAGGTACTGTCCCGTTCGCCTCAGCCAACTTCCGCTTCTTTTCTTTCCTGGCCTTCCTCTCTTCTTCACTACGTTTCTTTTTCTCTCTCTTCTTGGTAGTATCTTTATCACCGGCAACATTCTCGTCTTTGACCTCTTCTGTCTTTTCCGATGCCTCTTTTGCAGGTTCTTTGGGGACGAATTCTCCAGTAGCTTTTATGACACCGTCGACTTCCTTCTCCTCTTTGACAGCTTCTGGATTTTTCAATGCCTCAGCCTCGCCTTTTTCAGTCATTCGTTTTCGTTCTTTCCGTTCTTTCTTCTTCTCCTCACTAACATCGTCTTCATTGTACCGAGGACCACTTGCAATTTCGACGTCGACACAGAATGCAACCCTCCGCAGCTTCGATTGATCAAGCTCAGAGATGTGACATCTTTCCCGGTTTGGATCCACATTCAGCACCATTCGCTGGCACAGTCCATGTTGCATTCCTTTGTGAGGAGCCGACAACTGACCCCCAGATGAGGATAACCTTCGAAAAGCACTTTGTAAAAAGCTGGGCTGTCCGGTCTTGACCGGAGCTGGGGTATATGGGACATCGCCGGAAACCTTCACAGCATGTGGCAATATGGCATTCTTCGGGGCACTAGGGCCAGTGGGAATCGGCGACTCTGGTATAGTAGGAGGTGTCGATATTGTAGGGCTGCCATTTTGCGCTTGAGCTGGGTGTGGTGATGACGAGAACTTGGAGGAGATGCTCGACAACCACGAATTCCTTCTTGGGGTACTCGGGGACGGCGATCCGGACCTCGACAAGCTCCCATTCAATGTTATTGTCTTTTCCGTTGAATTACTTCTCGAAAAGTTGGGTCGACCGGGTATAGGTTTTGGAGATGGAGAAGGCTCGTCTGCGTGATGTCCATTGCCATTGTGTACTATCTTTGACTCCTCGAGGGAGGGAGGTGAACCATGATGAACAGTATGAGCTTTCGAGAGATGGTCTATAGAAAGAGAAGTTAGATTAGCATTCTTCATGGCGAAAACATGTGCAATATATCGCTACACTGCCCTTGAAGCGATGTGTCGAAACAGAGTCCCAGGGCTGATCATTCACATACCCTTTGAATTGAGGCTGTTGCTGGTGTGTTTGCTCATCCAACTAACGTCAACACCGTGAACACTCTCCATCGCGTTCGGCCGCACTGAATGAACCGGAAGGAGAGGTGAGATTTATCGCCGCCCGCTGGCTTTGGAATCGTCGTAGATGGCGGAAATAGGCTGAGATAAGCAGCTCACTGCAGCGGCTGTTGAAGCATACTGCGCCACGTCTGCGAATGCGCGAAGTGGTGAGGCTTGTTAGTAATCTTGTAGAATTATTCACGATTTGAAAGAATCGCAAAGGTACGGGGTCATGGGCTGCTTCGGACGAGGAAGGCACGGAAGGGAGGGATCTGCTGAAGCACGCGGGTTGTGGTGCGGTGCGGTGCGGTGCTCAACCGCATCTCGCTCGTCATATGTAATCGCTGAACCGGATTGCCGGAGTTGATTCGCTCAGGCTTGCTCACTCACTCCTCACGTCTCGGGACTTGATAAATCATAAAACTGATTTTGGCTGTTGCAGTGGGCCCACAGGATCGCATCGTGCTGGGTCAGTCTCTGGCTCTGGCTCCATTGTATTCCCAGTTGGGGTGGTACGTTCATCATTAGTACCTAAACTAGCCTATGGCTGGCCTTCTTGAAGTCCTGGTGGTCTGTTCGGCCGCCAGATCCCCTGTACCGTGTCACTGAATAATCAAGCATTGTTAGGTAACCAAGAGCGAAAACATCAACCTCACATAGTCACGAACTGGGTCAAGATAATGTCTCAGAAGTCATGCCATTCAGGTTTTTCCTGCCGTATCAACTCCTCATAATGCCCTAAGCAAAGAGCGATACCCGAAGTACAAGATGCAAGAAAGACAAAAGCTTATTCCTTGAGCTCGGCAATCTTGGCCTTGACTCTCTCCATCTTCTCGTCCTTCGTCAACTTGCGGCCACGGAACTTGAGCGACTCCTTCTTGTGCTCCTCCTTGGTCTTCTTCTCACCAGCCTCATCGACCTTCTTGAAGGGGTCCTCTCGGATTTGCTTGTGGGCCTCCTGGTACAACTCCTCCAATCCATCGGCCTCAATCTCATCATCGATGTAGCCTTGGAATTGAGACTTGTATCGCTCTTCATCATCATCGGCAAGGGTCTCCATGTACTCAGCAACGTGACCACCGAAGATGTACTTGCGCAGGGTGTCGGCATCGAGCTCCTTCGTCTCAATGTCGAAGCCTGGGAAGCGGTTCTCGGAGTGGGGAATGAGAATGCCACCGTCGGAAGCACCCTTCATGGCACCGAAGATACGGGCACCAGTGGAAGTGCGGTGAAGGCCGACATCGAGGAAGGCCTTGAAAGGTCGTCGCTCACCTTCCTCAGAAGCCTCAGTAAGCTTGTACTCTCCATCAGCCTCCTCAACACCTTGGAAGTCCTCATCCATGCCGAGCTTCTTGAGAACGCGGCGCGCGATCAGAAGACCAGTGCAGTATGCGGCGGCCCAGTTGGTAAGACCGTGTTCGATGCCATAGGCCTTGAGTTCGTGGGAGTAGGCAGCGCAGAAGACCTTGTCACCAGTGATCTCGGAGGTTACGATTTGCATAACAATGTCACGGTTGGTGAAGCGGACGACGAGACGGTACTTCGGCGCATTGTACTTGTTCTTGGCTTGGGTGATGAGGCGCTTGCGAGCATAGTAATCGGTCTTTCCGACACGACGGCGCTTGTACTTGGTTTGGTAGCGGCTGTTGAAGTCAGCTTTGCACGAAGATTGAAGACGAGGATCACAGATGCTTACCTGTAGTACGCCGAGTTCTTGACCAGCTTGGTGAAAGGCTGCAACAATCAATTAGCCCATGTCCTCGAATCCGCAGTTGGCATTTCAGATCAACGTCCGAACATTCTGCAGGGACTCTCAAGCTCTCTTTGGCATTTCTGCTCTTCCGAGGAACTTCGGGTTCTCATAGACATCGTCTGCAGAGGCGCAGATAATGCGATTGTAAATCAACTTACCATCTTGGCAGATTGGCCGCACTATTGCTGGAGAATGAAGTTGTCGTGGTATTGAGAATCGAAGGAAGAAATTCGAGATTCGGAACTGTGTTTGTGTGCGGCTCGCTTAGAAAAGTGCGGCCGAGCCCGCCAGCTTCAAAATTTACAGAGGAGGGGCACGATTCCAATGAAGTCGAAGTCCAAAAAGACCACCTCATGACCATGTATCACAAACCTGACCTCTATTATAATAATAATTCGACAAATGAAACAAACATCTGTCGGTCTGAACCCACGAATATACCACATTCAACCAGACTCCCCCACGATTAAGATGGATCTAGAAATTTTGGTCATGTGATCCTTCTAACTTTTAATTCGGTAGAAGCTCGGCGGAATTGGCTAAGGTTGGTGTTGAACCTCGGCTTCTCTGGATTACTCTCTCCTTCTTGAACAATAATCATCATAATTCACTCGAATTTCTGATGTCTCAAGAAGACTACCCAGTGGATTTTGTTTTAGACAGCATAGACTCGATAATGCCACCCTCAAAACAGCCCAAAGTCCTGTCAGTATTACCTCGCAAAAGTCGAGAGATTTCACTAACAAATGGATTGGTAGACTCTTTGATATTGGAGGCGTTTGTGTAAGTATAAGCTTTGCTATTACTACGTTTGCTTCGTTTCGAGCCACGTTAGCTACTTTTGATATTTCAGAGAATTTTGTTTAATTAGTCCATTGCAGTTTCGAACTTTCTATCTACCCCGCACTGTCCCTAGTTTCATATTCAACCGATGAACAAACGGGAGAGACGCCTCCCTTTCTCGGCTCTATGCTGTGAGATTATCTGTGCTTTATGTACTGCATTTCTCATATCTTATAACTGTCTGGAGCCTCGTACCGAAGTTCATTCATATTTACGAGTTAGCTAGCTAGCACTACCTCGTTTAAACCTCTTCTCTTGCCCATCCATCCCGTATTCCTTTTTCTCTCATTTCTGCACTATCTACACGTCCTCATCGCATCATCACAGGTATTTTTCTATCTCTTGCTGACAAACTTCAGGTCGTCTCTCCCTTTCAAGCAATCCTCGATTACGAACTATCTCTTGATATCCCACCAGGCTGGGTGAACCACTGCATCTCGCGCAGCGCTCCCCATGGCTTCTGGCACCGCCTCGAACGCGGTGAAATTCCTATGGACTCAGCTTGGTTCTCAGGCTTCACATCCGACCTACACAACAGCTCTCTCTGGCACTCCTTCTACACCACGGCCACTCAGAAAGACCCTTCCCTCCCCAAGACCATTCCACCGCTCCCAACACTAGACGGCGAACTACTCTTCTGGGAAATGATGCGGCAATCGCGGTCTCCAGACCCATGGATGTACCCCGCTCTCAAAGCTCTAAAATCCTCGGGAAAATATATCCTCGCCGCACTCTCCAACACAGTTATCTTCCCTCCCAACCACCCCTATTCAAACACCTCCTCTCCGGGTGACCCACGCAATTTCTTTGATGTATTCATCTCCAGCGCACACGTTGGACTGCGAAAGCCCGACCCAAAGATTTACGAGCTGGCGCTGAAGGAGTTGGATAAATTCGCGAGGGAGAAGCGAGGGTGGAAAGACGGGGTGAAGGCGGAGGAAGTGTTGTTTTTGGATGATATTGGAGAAAATTTGAAGGCGGGGAAGAAGTCGGGGTTTCAGACTATTAAAGTCAACTTAGGAAGAGCGTTCGAGGCTGTGGACCAGCTAGAGGAGATTACAGGGCTGAAGTTGGCTGGTGATCATCCACGGATTCCTGTGAAGCCTATGGTGAGGAAGAAGGTAGCGAAGTTATGATGCAACAATCCAAGGGCTGCTGGTGTTGATACGATGCTTAAATAATTGAAGGTCTTGTGAGAGACCTGCCAAGGAAGATTGAGATGATAGATTCTGATCAAATTGACCCCAAATCATTCAGCATTTGCTGTCACGTGCTTCACCGATATTCTCGCCATTAGATAGGCGACAAGGGCTGCCTCTGTGCACTCGATATAATCGAAAACCTTGGTTTTTGTGGTATCTTTCATGTGTTTCTCATCATTCACATGACACAAAGAATTTTTGAGTGGAATAGTTTTGATCATGTGATACTTAAATTCTCGTTGATGCCGCTAGCATTCCCAAACCAACTTCAATCCGTTTGGACCTCCTCGTTCCACCCTCTCATAGTCAGCCACACCCTCTAGCTCATTCTCAGACCATTGAAGCATTCTCACTAAGGGGCCTTCATTAGACCAACAAAACGTTCCGAGAATATGAAAACTTCGAGAAGCTTCAGGATCTATCGCCTTCACTCGTGTAGACTTGCTTACAAGCCAAATTCAGGTCTGGACCATCGAGTGCCCTCCATGGCTGTAGACGCCAATAAAACCATGCAGCTAATGTGACCGATGTTTGAAGGCAACAAAGATAAGTATGGAAAGGAAGCCGTACGTAAGCGGTGCCATCTTTCCCCTTCTCCTTCGACAAAAGCCATGGAAGGACGGCCTCCATCAACTTTGGCACCACTATTCGGACTTCTGTACGGAATTCTGTCCAAGGTCGTCCAGCATGTGGATCACATCTCCCTAAACTTGCTTACCCTCGTCAACAGTGACTATCAGCAATGGGCTCGATCAGCCCAATTCAACAGCATCTGCTTGGATTACAAGCCTTCTAGCTGGAGTCTGTTATAGTTACCCGATGACGAGGCAAAAGAGCGCAATTCAGACACAAAAACAAGCATGACGTCTCGACCAGCCATCGGAGCATGTACTCGACGTCTCACACATCTCGTTTGCGAAGCTTATGTCCATGGAGTCATGGAGGGAGAACTTGAGCAATCCAACAACTTGGTGTACAAAAATATTTATATTATCTGACTTCGTCCAACCTACGTTTATTGAGTAGAAGACTCACTATTTAGTGTCAGAACTAATGATAGCAGAGTTGGTTTGAAAGTTCTACGGAGTACAGAGATCGTAATCCATAATCATATGGGCGAAGGCCACTGACAGGGATCGAGACTCCATGTATTTTTCATCTTGACTGTTGTTATCGGAGTGGTTTGTTGCTGATCCGACTTGTTCAAATCATTGAAAGCTTGATTCTTTTACGGATGACACATTTCTGGAGTACCGTTAGTTCGCCGAAGACCCTGATTTAAGTCGTCTCCAAAGCATGACCATGTGCCTTCTGCTATCTGCATCTTGTGATTACAATGTTCGTCGAGTTCTTGGCGTCTCGAGCGAGCACGCTGTACAATTGATGCCATCAGCGGGTTGATTTCTCAGTTCAGCTGGCAGGTAATATCTCATCCATGGTGGGCTTAAGTCGCTGGCTCTAATCTCTCTCGTAACTGGGCGCTGCAAGTGCGTGAGGCGTGCGTCCAGACTATAAATACTTTGATGGGAAGGTTTTGCTTGCTCCAACTTCACTAGCCGAGGAAGAATTCTGCATTTTTAAAAGGACAAATTATTTGCCACTGGCCCCATTCAATCAGTCTGCCGGGTTCGCGAGTGCTCTGGCAATTGAAAAGGCATGGTCACATGATCGATGAATCCGCTCTCAATTTGCTCAAAAGGGGGTTGTCAAAAAAGAAAGAAAAAATTCAAAGTCGAAGGCAAAAATCAAAACTGAAGCAAGAATCAAAACGGCAAAACTCTTGAGTCCCAAAGGCGGCTTGAGAACTCGAGCGAAGAAAGACTCTAACGACTTTTTTCTTGTGTGGCAACATGCATGCTGGTTAGGCACCGCAATTTATACAACTTATGCCACATATAAGCGCAGCTCTTACGACCGTATGTTGCCGTCGCTTATTAGAATACACGAGAACCAACCCCAAAATCGGTAGTAAATCTGCGAGGGCGGAGTTTTGCCGATAGCTTCATTTTTGGCTACGGTGAGGCTTCACCAACCTTATGCCATCCACCGAGAAGATGGAGTGTAAGAGCAAGCGCATTAATTTCAAGACTGGTGAAGATCACAAAGTGAGCGCTGCCGCGATAGTACAATAATAAAACTCTACCAGGGGAGAGCAGGTTCTAGACGACATCGAGTTGCATTATTTACATGGCTGGGGATAGCCACCTTCCACCACGACACGTCCTTCCGAAATTCCAGAACCCGTCCAGCGTCTAGTTCTACAACATAGCCCTTCCAACCCCCAAAGCAGGATCAGGTGTCAACTCTAATCGCTGGAGACAATCCGCTTGAAGAGTGTGCTTTCGAACACCGCCGTCCAGACCGAAATTCCAGTATGCTTGTATTATCTGAGTCTTGTGACACTTTTTCTCCACTGAAACCTTCTCTTGCGCTCAGCACAACAAACTCAAACAGTTTCAAAGATGTATTTCTTTACAAAGAGTCAAATCTCCGCACTCGACTTGGGCAGTCTACCCAAGCCTTTCAATTGAGATCCACTGTCCAAGACTACACTGGGTCCTCCTCGAATATTATTCTGTGAGCGAAAATCTGCCATTTGGAGAAGATGTGGGACAGAAATGGCTACATGTCGCTGGGGACGATGCAAATTATACGTTACGGATTGTGCTTCTCACTGCTGCTCATCAGTTTGATATTCACACTGGAGATATCACGTCCCTGGGCCGAAGACCTGGTCTGGTAAACAGCTCTGTTTGGGTGTGTATGTAACGTCTAAAGAGAGAGGAGGAGGAGCGGGGAGCTCGAGACTAGGATACAGGGTGCCACGCTAGGGCCAGGTCATGTGACGCTGACGTCACAACAAGAGAAGATCTGCCATGCCAACGAAGAGTTGAAGGGCTCAAACACGTTGCGCTCAGGAACATACCGGATGTTGTGAGGAGTGGAGTGGCGATAGGAGAGACAAAAGAGAACTTGGTATTGGCAAGTTTGGATGATTTGGATATGGGATGGTGCGGCTGCCTCTTTATGCAGGAAACGGACTATGAAAGTTAGTTGTAGTATTGCTAGAATAGTCGTCTGCAGGTACAATCTTTGGGGAGCTTGCCCTGGTCTAACGTGCCTCTTTCCCAAAACCCTCGATTGCTGAACAAGATATTCGGAAGAGTTGAAATGCGATTAACTGCTGCATTGTGTCAGTCGCATCGAGAATATTATTATCTGGCATTCTAGCCTGGTTCTGACTTCACCAGCCTCGAAGTCCACTATCACTACTCAGTTGAAAAATGGAATATACTCGAGACGAGAAGTTTAACAAATAGTGCTAAGACAAAGCACATCGAAACGTCTAAACATTCATGTTACAACCCGTCTGTTTGAGAATGGGAAAGTTGGTGGCAGTAAGGTTGTAAATTGACTATCTGGAAGCACTATTCGACACAGCAAACTGGACACCTCAGAATCCTAAGATAGGAACCAGTTTGCAAAACAGCGCTTCACAAGCAACCTCACCGCCTTTTTCTCGCAGGTCTCACAACAACAATCTTCCCGCCAACAAAGCAACCACGATAACAATCCCCGTGCTCCATATTCCACTCGTTCTCTCAACACTCTGCAGCAGCGTAGGGCATGCTTGTATCTCAGCCTTGCGTGCAAGCAAAGCGTCTGACGAAAGGTAACCCGGCATCAGCCATCAGTGACCAATTTCATCGATCGACGAATTCAGATCCAGGTTGCTGGACGATAGATAGGGCAGCAAAGCTTACGCTTTCTGTCTGCTACCTATTTCAGGCAACCCGTTTCGGTCTTCAAAAATCTGTGTCCTTATCGAGGACATTCGAAAATCGATCAATCGTAGCCACCGCCGACTTGACTTGCAAAAGCAGTAGAAACACTCTTCTCGTCATCATCCAGGCGACGGCCGCTCAACAATGAACTACCTCCAAAGACACTGCCAGCATCGCCCGTCTTGTAGTCAGCAATGCGGCCACCGGACTCCACATATCGCTTAAGGCGATCGGATTGACTCAAGCTTGTCTGCTTCTGAGCATCAGCCAAACCAGCACCAAGGCTGACTCCACCCTGGCCAATGCCCTTTCCGTCAAGAACACTGTTGGTGATATCGGTAAGCTCACTGGCGGCAACAGATTCACCAGCGACACTTTCCGCAGCGCGACCTCTGCCCTTGGATCCATTGGTGCGACCGCGGGGATCCAGGCTAGGCCAAGTCTCAGGAGTGAAGTTGGAGAACATTTGTGGGTAAGCAGAGCCAAGACCAACACCACCGAGCGCAGAAGAGTGGACGGATGAAACATCATCGTTGATATAGCCCATCATAGAACCAACATCGCTGAAGTCCGGAACAGCCTTGCCATTGGTGCCGGTACGGCCGTTGAACGAGGCGTGAGACATTTGGTAGCGTTGAGGACCACGGTAAGTTGTCTTGGGGCGGCTGAATTGCAGAAGGGAGGTTTGCAGATTGGAAAGAGGACCCTCAACGAGACAATTGCGTTCCTTGAAGTGCAACAGCAAGTAATGCCAAAGGGGATGCTTTGACAAAACCTTGGGGTTGCCAAGGATAACCAGACCGTACTTAGCACGAGTTAAGGCGACATTGAGACGTCGAGGATCGCTCAAGAAACCGATTCCTTGATGATCGTTGGAGCGAACGCAAGAGAGTACGATGAAGTCCTTCTCACGACCCTGGAAAGCATCGACGGAAGCAACCTCAATCTCCTTGTAGTTCTCCTTCTTGAAAGTACCAGTGTTCTGCATGGAGCTGACCACATAGCTTCGTTGACCTTCGTACGGGGTAATGACTCCAATGTCTTGAGGTTGAACGCCAGCCTTGAAGAAACGGGTAACAATCTTCTCGACGTTGGAGGCTTCCGTGCGATTGAGATAAGATGTACCAGATGCGGATATTTCTTCGTTGCCAAGGTTGGACCAGAACATCATCGGTGTATCTCCAACGGGCCAGGGGAAGTCGACATCGCGGCGGAGACGCTGCTGCATGGTTACACCATTCTGAAGAGAGCCTTCGTAGAACATGTTTGACGGGAATTCCGAGAGACAAGGATGCATGCGGTATTGAACGTTGAGTCGAATGGGGGCGAGACCAAGTATGACAAGACGCTCGAAGAGGGACTGATTAAGACCAGCCTTCGCAGCTTTCTTGTTCATGATAACGGGCCCCAACTGTTGATGATCTCCAACCAGGACTACCTGCTTGCATCCCAGAACTAATGGAATCATGCATTCGGGCTCGGCGGATTGAGTCGATTCGTCGATGAGGACAGTTCGAAACTTCATCTTAGCCAAACGAGGATCGCCAGCACCAACACAAGTACAACAAATAACATCGGCGTTGGTGAGAATCTCGCGCTCAGCAGCCCGTGTCAAGACCTTAAACTTCTTCTCATCCTGACTGGATAACTCGCCAAGTTCGCTCTTTAATTGTGACAACTTCATGAGCTCCAGATTGCTGTCATTCATGCGGACTTGCTCATGCAAAGACAAGAAGCCAACAGAAGACTCGACATCCTCGCGAGACTTGGCGGTGAGGCGGACAACCTTCAAGCCGGTACGGTGGATGCGCTCGCAAAGCTGGTCAACAGCAACGTTAGAGGGCGCACAGACAAGAACTTGGCCACCATTGACTTTGGCAAGATGGTAGATAATAGTCGCAGAAGTGACTGTCTTTCCGGTTCCCGGGGGGCCTTGGATAAGACTGAGGGGCTTTTGCAAAACACTCTTGACGGCGTTGATCTGACTGCTGTTCAATTCTGGAAGTCCGGGGACACTGAATTTCTTTGGCATCTGGATCTTCATCGGAGCTGCAGCAACTTCATGTCCAAGAAGCTTGTGGAAGATGTAACCAGATACGCTCATCTCGTCAACGGCGAAGGTTTTCATGGCGAATTGCATGCGGTCATAGGAGGTGGCCTTCCAAACGTAATCGGCGGAGAAGTTGTGGGTGCATTCGGTGGGTACAGACTTGTCGCTGCCAACCTTTCGAAGTTCGATAGTAACTTCATCAGATTGGTTGTTAGGAATCTTGACAACGTATCCAACTCCCTCCCAGACAGGTCGTAGTTCTCCCTTGTACTTCAGGCGCATTTCATCTCCAACAGCCAACTTGACATCACCAAGCTCAATCTTTGGGAGAATGAAGCTTGCAAGATGCTTGTTGTTAAGGCCATAATCCCATCGAATAACGAGACCATCCTCAGACTGAGCTTCCTTAAGCTTGCGATCATAGTCGGCCTCGATCTTGACAAGAGGTCCGAAGACATTTTGATACTGGTACGCGTCGTCATATTTCAAAAGAACAGGAGCCGGTTCATCATCGATTCCAGCAGCCTTCTCGAGGTCTTGAATGGTAGCGTTGGCATTGTCCTTCCACATCTCCTCCAATTTAGCAATCATGGGTGGATTCATGTGTCGAGCGCGGAGCTGCTCGGCATCGGTAGGCATTGATACAAGCCAAGGGAGGAATGAGCGGTCTTCGATAAGTGGTTGCCATCTCGAGATATCCCAACTCATGTCCTTCGAGGAGGGAGTAGCAGCACAGGGTTGACGGCACAAGAGCACAACAACCGTGTCTGACTTAGCCGGAATGAATCCAAGTAGGAAAACATTCTTCGTACCACAGTTGTAGCATTCGAGGACCGTGTCTCCGAGGGTGGATTGCGGGTGGAGTTGAACCTCCTTGTGTCTAGCACGGACAAGATGGTTGACAATGTGAGAAGAGGTAGCATTGCCACGGGCACTGCAGAACCACTTGCTGCAACCAAGACATTTGACAACGCAGCTGGGAGAATGGATCCCGCAGTATCTTCACCAAACGTTAATTTGTGCCTTAAACATTCCCTTCACAAGACACCACTTACGCGCAGGCATGGGCAGGAAGCTCCTTCTCGTCTTCAACTCCCCTCAAGCCCAATGTCTTCATACCGTCCACCGGAATGCTTGCCAAACTCTCAGCGTCGTCATCGTCGAAGACTTCAGTCTCGTTGTCATCATCGTCATTTCTGCGCCTGCTCGGGCCCAAGCCACCCCGTCCTCCATACTGTCCGTAGAGCAAACTCTCATCCGGGTCAATATTCGAAAGATCATCGGCACCAGCGTTGATCGCAGCAGCAGAGTCGGAGATGAGGTGGTTTCCAAGGTGGGTAAATGCCCCCTCCATTGTTCGAGTTTTGCTCGACTCCTAGAAGTAAAATAGAATGATCAGTACAGAGTTTTCCGTACCAAGAAATAGCACCAATCTGTGCGGTGCCGTGAAAGGTGCAGCTTGCCGTTACAGGTCCGGTGGCACTGGGTACGGTGGCAGCTCACTTTTGTAGATTTTGTTATTTCTGAAGCAGCCTTGTGGCGCGCAAAGGAAGAGGGTTGGTCACAAAACGCGCAAAGTTCCCTCAAGTCATCATAGGCGCGACTTGGAGTACTGGCAACTTCTTGCACAGACTTTTGTGAATTTCGGAGACGGTGTTGGAGAGATGGGAACGTTTGGTGGGATGGAGGCTCTCGGAAAGGCATTTCGTGCAAGGGTCCATCATTTTTAGCGCGGCGCTAAAAAATTATATTATTCTTTGCATATGAGATCTTTCTTAGCCTGTGAAAACCACAACCACTGTCAAAATGATTGTGAGTCTCCCCTGTGTGTTGTGTTCCCTGGATGTTATCCCAGCTTGAAGGATGATTCCAGAGTGATCTGCTGTTGCGACAAACCTAGCGATTGCTCTTGAGGACGAGCGATACCAAAAAGTTTTCTTGGACCCCACTAATTGACCTTGCAGCGCAAACAAACTCGCCAACGGCGGGACTACCTCTATCGTCGAGCTCTGACCCTTCGAGATGCTGAGATTTCAGAGAAGAGAGCAAAGTTACGGGCTTCGTTGGCATCCGGAAAACCCCTCGACCCCGCGATTGCGAACGACAAGAAGTTGCGGGAGGACTACAAGTACGATGAATCAAGACCCGACCTGACAGTAAATGAAGAGCTGGATCTGGATGATGAATATGCTCAGCTCTCGGGCATAGTCGACCCCCGAGTCTTGGTTACAACCTCAAGGGATCCCTCAACACGACTTTCCTCGTTCGCAAAGGAGATTCGATTATTACTACCAACGTCGATACGACTGAACCGAGGAAATCTGATCCTGCCAAATCTGGTACAATCTGCTCAAGCATCAGGACTTTCAGACATAATCCTTCTCCATGAACATCGAGGTGTCCCGACAGCTCTGACCCTTTCGCATTTTCCACACGGTCCCACAGTCTCCTTCTCTCTCCACAATGTAGTCCTTCGCCATGATATCCCAAATAGCGCTCGAGGGACCGTCAGCGAATCCTATCCACATTTGATCTTCGATGGCTTTACTTCGAAATTGGGACTTCGGATCGTCAAGATACTGAAGCACATATTCCCGCCACGCGAAGCAATCACAAACAAAACCAAACTTGGAAGCAGAGTCGTCACGTTTAAGAATATCGAGGATAGCATCGAAGTACGGCACCACGTATTTGTGAAAACGGGATATCAGAGTGTTGAGTTGGCTGAGGTCGGACCACGAATGACGATGAGATGTTTCGAGATCAGAGGAGGGACATTGGAGAATAAGGATGGAGACGTTGAGTGGCGCCTGAACCAGTACACGAGAACAAGTCGAAAGAAGGATTATTTGTGAAGCTGGGAAAAGGTAATTGTCAATTGTTTGCTTAGCGCGGAGTTGGGGAAAGGTTGCATACCAAGGCGTCCGAAAACTCTTATGGAATATTTGCCAATGGATCCGGATTGCCCAGAGCTGAATCAGCGGCAGCAGATATGGCTTGAGAAATTCGAAGAATTCGAGGAGATCTACCAAGCCTCGCAAATCCTCTCTCACCCATGGCCACACCCAGATTGTGAGGGTTGTTCGGTAGGCCTCAGTGAAGATGCAGCATGCGGTCAGAGTTTGCAAGAGTGGGTGAGGCATATTTGAAGCTCTTGGCCACTGCAATCAAAACTATTGACATAGTTCCCAACTCAAGCTATTCTACCCAACCTTTTTCATTGTTGAGCTAGTGTGATATGCTGCTTCATCTTTACGTGTAGGTCTCGCAAGTCTACATAGGATGTTCTCTTCCTTTGAAAGCCAGCATATCATGAAACCTTCACAACCCATCCATTTCTGCTTCAAAAGATATCAAGGTTCCTCTAGTTCACTATTGCCTCTTTTTGTTTCTATTTTCGAAGAACATTACCCGAGCTAAACACTGCTTGAGGAGATCTCGCCAAGTCATATTGCGAATTGTTTGGCAAAGGATATAAAACGAGGCCTGGCTGGCGGTAAGCGGAGCCAGGAACAGGGATTGAACAACCAAGTTAAGTTGTAGAATCAGCCTCCAGGAAGATCACAACATCATCTGAATCAAAGCGCATAGCTCCCAGTCTTTCTTTTCTTTGTTACTGGGCTTCGCCCTCGCTTGTGGGACCTTGAGCTACGCACTCTCCAATCTGTAGTTGACATTGACGGTTTCACTTTGGCGTATCGCCAATTTCATACTTTCGTCTGATATACCGCGTGGTCTTGGGAAGCATATGAACTTGAAAGAAGTCATTATCACATAGAGTCGGTGCTAAGTAGGACAGAGAGCATGCTGAGGGAGGAGCAGATGTGATTGAACGGAGCCTCGGTTAACTTCAGGGGAAGACTTTGTCTAATTAACATCAATGGCAGCGGAAAGAGGCCAAAATTAACCCACGACTTGTAATACCACACCACGATACATCACCATCAAACAATTCAAGAAACCATCTCCTTGTAATATTTCATCAGGTGACTAGTGGAGCATGCGTGGGGAACCCTGTCAGCTCAGATCCACCTACGAAAACTCAGGGACCGAGATTGATGATGCAGCGCGCATGATTGGCCCTACATCGCGGTCCTCCTGCAACTGTGTACGGAACAGAGACAAACCATCCCACCCTACAACCTCGCATTACTTCTTTCTTTAAATTCACATTCCCCCCCAAACTGAATGTCTCATAGATGTCACCCGCCGGGCCCAAATGCACAGCATACGATAGTGACATTTGCGCCCAATAGCTGGTCACCGGGACGCTCACGACCTGTCTCACGAGGGGCTTCGAGAGCACCTTCCGCAGAGCCTGCAATCGCGTCATCGAAGTCCAACGGATACACGAACGGGAAGGCAGAGACCTCGCGGCGGGACGAGGAGGATTTCAGCGATTTGGATACGGAAGAGGTCGAGATGGGGGATCGAAGACCGCCCTTACATCGGCCAACGGATGGACGATCACATCAGCCCCTGTTGCACAAAGATGATGAGGAAAGAGGGAGGACGGGATACGATTCTCCTGATCCTCCAGAAAGACCACCGTTGTTTACGAGGAGGTCAACGATGAGGAGCCGGAGTCCAGATACGCAGGCCAGACTGGCGACGAGGAAGAAATACACCTACGCAGCGTTCTTCTTGGGGTTGAGCTTGATCAGTTTTGTGGTACAGACGGAGACGGCAGTTTACATTCAACATGAGTTGGGTTGGAATAAGGCGTATTGTATGCTGTGAGTGTCGTCCTCCCTACTGATGGAAACAACCCTCTAACATCTCCCAGATACTTCACTCACGGATCATGGTCATTTCTATGGCCCTTCCAACTCCTCATCTTGCGATTACAAAAGTGGAACATGCCCTGGGAGACATTCTGGCGACGACACGTCTACCTTGTCCGCACCACCGCGCAAATGGTAGAACTACAAGACCTGCACGTCCCTCGAAACCAACACTCGCCCATCCCCTATATGCTCCGAAAGACCGCCTTCATTGCCTGCGCTCTCACAATCGCCGGAGGATCATGGTACGTGGCGGTCAATATGACTTCACCGTCAGACTTGACCGCAATCTACAACTGCTCAGCCTTCTTCGCCTACGCCTTCAGCGTCCCTCTTCTAAAGGACAAAATCCGCTTCGACAAATCCTTCGCAGTAATCGTAGCCATAATCGGCGTCCTAGTCGTTGCGTACGGAGACGCCAAACCGACCAAGCACGGAGGAAAATCTGGAGGTTCAGTCGGAGGCGGGCCCCAAGACAAAGAAGCCATCGAAGCCAGTACACGAGTATTAGGGAACCTGATTATCGGAGTTGGCAGCGTGCTTTATGGGCTCTACGAAGTGCTTTACAAGAAGCTGGCGTGCCCTCCCGAGGGCTGCAGTCCAGGCCGAGGAATGGTCTTCGCAAATACATTCGGGTCACTCATCGGAATTTTTACAATAACAGTTCTCTGGATCCCGTTGCCAATTTTACACTGGACTGGACTCGAGGAATTCGAACTTCCATACGGCGAACAAGCGTGGCTACTGGCCGTCTCCGTCCTCGCAAATGCCGTCTTCTCGGGAAGCATGCTGATACTGATCAGTTTGACGAGCCCAGTATTGAGCAGCGTCGCAGCGCTGCTGACCATCTTCCTTGTCGCAATCGTAGACTGGCTCTGGACCGGCGTACCTTTGAGCCCGGCCGCAGTTGTGGGTGGGTTGTTGATTATTGCGGCATTTATATTGCTTACATGGAGCACGTATAGAGAGATGGCGGAAGATAGACGGAGGAGAGAGATAGACTTGAGCGAGTCGGACACGGATAAAGATGACGATTAATGGCGCGATGATAGACGGGGTGGCAATATGGTTGATGGATGGGTGTATATAGGTCAGGCGTTGGAAAGGGGGCATTTGCATCAGATGGGCGTTCTTAAGAGATTGGGAAATTAAGATAAAGGATTGCATTTGATGGTCACTACGTCTTCCCATTTCAACGCCCTATTCTCTTTTCTTGAAACGATATCGAGCTGGCAATAGCTCTCCGCCGCGCTTTCAGACCTCTCGTCCAAGATATCTCTCTGTGTACTGCCAGGCTGTAATCCTTCGTCCCTAGCATCTGCATCTTCCTCCTATCTCCCCTCCTTCCCTCTCCTCTTCTTTTGCCCTATTTCCTCATCACCTTCCCAAGCTTTCTCCAACATCTCGTCATTAAATGGCACCGCATTTTCATCAGCCAAATAATCCTCCGTAATATCTCCTAACTCCGACCTGGACCCTCATACCTTTCCTCCATTTTGCCGCTTCTCTTCCTCCTTCATCTTGACCCTGAGAGGGTATAGGTTCCTCGGCCTCACCAGCAAAGAAATCATCCCAATTGTACGACATGATGATCAATCTACCCTAAGATATAGATTTTTCAATAGAGAATGGAGTAGAGTGAGTCGGCAGGTTCATAGGGAGATGGCAGTCACAGTTTATATCTGGCAAAGCGATGAATGAATAGCAGAGAGATCAATTCTGATATCTAGTTCTGTTCTATTTAGTAGAGACAGAAGAACAACCAACTTTAACAGTTGATCTCACTCAATCGAATGAGCAGTATACGAATCCACGATTTCCTTCAGCTGAAAAGCTCCATCGGGTGGAGAAATAACAGTCGTTAATATTGTAAGTCCATCCGTGGATACAATACACGCTGACTCCATGCGCCTGGAAAACACGATGCTTCCTCCCCCTTCCTAACGCCGAATATAAATGCACTATACCATGGCATGCTCAATCAAATGACAGAAAACGCTTCGATCCTCATTATGCAACTTCGATGTCGAACCGCGGCAAGGACGAGCAAATGGTGCACCTTCGAGTGAGAATGACCAAATCGCCATCCTTCGCAATAAGGACAGACTCAGACATCTTCGGCATTGATTGTCTCGCCCTCGCGGCTGCGTTGATCTTCCTTCAGTTGCTCGATTAAAGTATCCATGTTCTCGTCCATCATCTCGATCTCAGTGCCCAGAGCCTTGCGGATGAGTCGTCGGTACAGCTCACCTCTCTCGCCGGCGCCTGCATCACTGAGAGCGTCTCGGTATTGAATGACAAACTTCTGTCTCTTATTTTGCTCGGCCATCAAACGCTGCGCCAGCATAACTCTTTCGGCGACATCATCATCACTATTGATCATGTGGCCGTTCATCTTAGCTTCCTCGCGTTGGATATTGCCCCAAAGGCTCAGCTTTTGTTGTTGCTCGATCAAGGAGGTGACCATCAGTTGAATCTGTTCCAGCTGCTGCTTCCCTTGGGCGGTCTTTTCGGGGGATTCTTGGTGGCAGGACACTTCAAGGATTTGCTCCTTAATGGCAGCCAGCTCTTGGTTTGTGCTTGACAGGATACGCCTAGCCTCCTTCTCGGACGTCTCCTTCTCGATAAGTTCCTCGTCAAAGGACCGGGCCAGATCTTGGAACTTCTCAAGCATAAGAGGTTTGATAGTAGACTCGATCGACATGGAAGCTTCGGATATGTGAGTCGTGTTGCGACGTGGCTCCTCCGGCATTTCATACACGGATTGACGATCAGGTCCATACGGCGACGATGAAGCCTGTGGATGGCGATCCATTCTTCGACTCTCATTGAGCTCTTGAATCATCTCCTCTGCGGTAATGCCATCTTGATTTGGGATATCGGTTCTAGCCCCACGGCCCATCAAAGCTCTGACACACTTCCGAGCCTTGTTCTTGGCCGCGATGTGAATTGCGGTGTTACCCTCAATATCCTGCGCATCAAGGATACGTGGGATAAGCTCTGGCTCAAGTGACTCTAGCATCTTATTCAGAAGTACGTCGAGATAGTAGCGACCGAAGTGATGCTTGCCACGACTAGTTGTAACTGCGGCAGCATGGTGAAGAACCGTAGATCGACAGAAATCAACACAATCAATTGTGCCGATCAACTCCTTGACGACGAATGGCATAGTCTGCTTGTCCATGCAGTTGGTAAATAACACGGATCGCATCAGCGGGGTTTCGCCTCGGGTATTCTGGATAACTAATGAGCAACCGAACTTGTTTAACTCCTTCATAACATCAACGTCTCCCATAGCAGCAGCCCAGTGCATCGCAGTGTGACCTTCATTGTCGATGAGCCAATCAGGATCGAAGTTGAGCGGAGGATCTGGTCGCTTAGGGGGGTTCTGTTCACGCTGGGAGACCATGAAGTAGTCGAGAAGCTCATCGGCGTACCACCTATGAAGGCGTTCATGCTCACTAACTGCAGCCTCCTTGCGCTTGCGCTTGCGGTGGCTTGTGGATTGTTGAGACATATCATATCGATCATCTTCAAGCATGAAAGATGCTGAAGCAACCGTGGTATCGTCAGCAATACTCTCATCGTCATTCAACTGGGCGCTGATATTATCATAGTCGTCATGTGCACGTGGTGCTGGCACTGGTTCTATCCTGTAAGCGCTGTCTTCCACATATGAAGAGCAGGCAAGACTTACTTGTACCCCATTTCGGAACAGCAGGCTTCTTTGCGACTTTCGGCTTTGCTGTGGTATGCTTCGGGGCAGGTGGGGGGCTAAGCTCGCCAGGGGTAAACTCGAAGATGGTTCGGAGCTTCTCATAGACATTGTTTCGTTGCGCCAGAGCTTCACCTTGCTCAAGTGGGACCCATGTACCTGCAGAAGTCAGAGACTATCCCCCAGGAGTGATTTCTTTTAGCGCACCTTGGTATTTGCCATATCCACCCTGGACCTTCTCGTGTGTCTCCTTCTGAACCTCTCTCTCGAGAATTCTCGTTCTGGCTGGCTTATCGAAACCGGCGGCCTTGAGGATGTGTGTCGCATTGATCCAATCGTCTCCACGGCGGCGCATAACTAATCGGAAGTCTAAGTAGGTGTCATGTAAAAGTTCCGCGAAAAGTGAGCTCACCATGTTCCTTCAATCCTTCACCAAACTGGTATTCGTAGACAGGAATCTAAGCAGCTGTCAGTCCTTGTACCACTGCGGAAGACAATTAGACAGAACGCATACATTACTGTACGTCGCAGAGTAAACTCCGGGACCGGCTGGTTTGACCATCTTGTTGAACGATCGTGGTGATCTGCTGAGGGGTTTCTCGACCTCTCGAGGGGAGGGGGCTTGGCGGCTATTTCCGAACAGTGAGCCCAGTGTCGAGGCGCGTGAGTGACGCGATAGTCGCGTCGATTGGAATTAATGAACAATTGACGCGTTTTATAAGCAAGTTGAGGTGCACGTTTGTGCCGATTCTGACCGCCTTGTACCGGCATGAAATGTGAAAAGACGTGGGAGGTTGGCTACGACGCGGTACGCGGTCAATTTCAAGGATCGCGTCAAAATCACTTTAACTAAGCGAGTGCAAGTCACGTGCAATGGAGCTTTTTCAACCTCGATTTTCGATTCACTTCATACTTGAATTGTTCAAGGTGACGACGTCAATATTTGAGAGGAAGCTCCATGCTGCACGCATACGCTGACCAAGTGAAAGAGGAGGGCCACATGAAGTTTTTTACATGACCTCGTTTTCTCGAGCCCCACGATTCAAATGCCATGCAAAGCCCATTGTATTTTGAGGATTGTATGAGTTCCCTTCTTGGAGACGGTTGATCTTATAGAGAGACTACTCGTAAATTTTTTCGTGGTTCTCTCCTTCACAAATTAACTGAAACTGCCTGTAGATGGAATTACATCAAGTTGGTGGACTTCTGCTGCCGCCTTTCAGGAGTCATCGATGATTTTGTGGTTATCAAAAGCATGCCATTCTTAAGTTCTCAAAGCCACGCCTTGCTTTCCAGACTTGTTATTAAATGATCGTCATAGTCTTTAATTTCCAAGTCGGGAACAGCTTTGGAACCTCTTTCTCCCCTACGTCAAAACTACTCAACCGCCGATACTCTTCTTCAGACACATATACAATCTTTCCCGCAATTCCAATTCGTCGATAAGTCTCTTCTTTTCCAGCCACAGGCTCAAGGATCAGTGACCAGAGCGTCACCTCATATACCGTCTTGCCAGATTTGAATCTGACGGCGTCACTCGGATTTCTGTCCATGAGGGACAGAACATGGACGCACAAGTACTTCATGCAAGCATGACAGCTTGGTTTCTCCGGCTTTGGACCGGATCCACTGTAATATAACCCATGCCAGAATACCGGTTTGAAGAGACAGATGAGCCAGAGACAGGTGTGGAGCAGCATTCTTGTGGTTGAAGAGAGTTTTTGTCGAGGCCAGTAATCCCAAAGAACAAGATCCGCCCTAGACATGTCATCCTTGACTCTATTCCAAGGACTTTGAGGACAGAATCCGAAATTCCAACTGCTAAGAAAGTCCATTGGGTCCCACCCGGAGGTACGAACGTCCCATCTCGGATACGTGAAGCCGCGAATCGTTAACCGTCCAGATCTTACACTGCCAAAATCACTCAGCCCAACGCAGTCCGTCTCAACTTCTAGAATCTCTGCATCTTGTTCTGTCCAGACTCTCATCGCATACTCCTCATCCCGGTCGGCCCAGAAATCTATCCTATCGACAAAATCTGCGGACGCCCAGCTCCATGATGGGCCTTCAAGCCACGCCTTTTCTTGCTCCCATTGGGGCCTTTGTATATAATACGACTCCGAAATCCGTGGAAGATCATACTCTCTTATGGATGACGCCGTATGAGTCCAAATGAGACTTACCAAAAGGTTCCTGCGCCAGAAACCCGCAACATAGGTGTCGCCGGTGAGCTCGTGTATGATTCTCGCCATTCCCATCAGAGCCGGCAGCTTATCGGTCTGCTTTGTGAGACGACGATTTACATACGCAAAGATTATGCTATGCCAAGTCCTGTAAATTTTGGTCCTAATCTTCTTCCTCGTCTCGATGGAGGAACTGTCGAGGTTATATGGTCCATGAAGCCTTTTCAGTCCCAGTAAATCTGGCGATTCAGTAGCCTCGGAGCCCACGCTACGAAACGAAGTCCTTGCTGACATTGGAAGTATCTCCCCATCTGCTGCTTGGCGAGACGATGCACACTGCCAGTAAATCTGACGAACACCGTAGTACAGTATTCGATGAGAAAGTAGGCGTTCTTGGAGACACCAACCTCGGTACCCCAAAGGTCCTACAACCGTGCATCGGTACCAGTTTTCTTCTTTATCGGAGAACGAAAACCACGGTTCTAGGGACACGATCTCGCTTCGTTCTCCTTCATGAATTTTCAAGTGGCCCGAAGTCGACTTAACCCTCGTGTTGTTGTCCTCGGCTTCGCTGACGGGTGTATGCTTAGGTTTCGCTTCTGCAAATTGATAGAGGTTCAAGACCCTTCGATCTTGAAGGAACCATTGTGCTGGCTGACCCAACTGAGCACCCATATCCTCGACTCTGTAGTCATCTCTTAACATTCCACCGTCACTGTCCTTCGCACCGGCAGCTGCAATCGTCAAGGAAGCATTCATATAGATATTTCCCATATTCTGACTCTCGGCTTCCCAATCTTCCGCCGAGTTCTGAATAATGCACAGAGAATCGATCCAAAGATATCGGTATCCAAGTTTCCGGGTGATGACCGTGGCGTCGTAGAAGGTTGCTGGCATGAGAGACATCGGAATTGATTTAAGGCGAAGACCAAGAGTGGCCAGCGTGGTGGTCAATCTTTCCTTGATAGTGCTGATACCCCAGCAATGTGATAGGGAGAGATATCGTCCTTTCTCACCTTTTGAGGGCTGCATCAACCTCGGCTCTTCCGATCCATCCGCCGGACCAACATCAATAAGCCTCGTGGGAAGTTCGTTGTCCGTAATAAGCGGGCAAGTTTCCTTGTGATTTATACAGCAGTCATGAATCCAGTCCCGAACAACTTGGAAGTTCTCATCAGACCCAAGGTCTTTGTCAACATAAATGAAACGAAAGCGGAACTCGTGAGGGTGGTTATCTTTCGAATATGCTTTATACCGTTATTCTGCAGTGGAGGGTGAAGGGGCATAAAGCAGGGACCATACCTCGTGGTGCACAAATCCGAAATGCAATGTTCAAATGGTCAACACCGGGTTTCCATGGTTCACTGCCAACTTGAAGATAAAGATGATGAACCATACGTTTGTGTTTGTCACCGCCATCAGGTTCCGTGTGCATCCAAGCAATTATCGGGCGCGAATCGTCTTGAGACTCGGACAGAAGTTTCATCCTCCTCCGCAAAGCTTGAAGATCGCCACATGCGTCGATGAAGCGCGAGTGAAAGGTCTGACAATTCTCGCATCCATCTGCAGCGGCGGCCTCGAGGGCTTCATAAGAATGATGCAGGATGAGATAGCCTGCTTGCTTCCATTCTGATGTTTTCGGATCGTGTTCGCATCCTCGACTGTATAATCGATCGACAGTCAAGTTCTCGCAAGCTTGGCAAATCATCTTGCAAAGATGAATCCCTGCAGAGACCAAAATAAATGCTCATAGTAATGAAACGAGAAGAAGTTGTGGGGGTGATGTTTAGTTGAAGGATTGCTGACTGAATCAGAAGTTGTCTCGAAGATGCATGATGCAGCATGTACTCTCGGCCAATAAGAGCACCGTAATCAGGGCCCATCCAATTGGCCTTCCGTCCCCAAAGTACATTTCGGGTCCAAACAAGAAGGATGTTAGGGGTTCAATCTTGTTCTCTAAATATTTAAACAGGGTTCTAGTTCGATTGAGCTCGGTATTCGCTTGTCAGTCGTGCCGTATATCGAAGAATAACGATATTTCCACTGTCAAACTCCCAACTGTAAGCCTTGTTGCCTCTCTCCCACCGCTAAATAACGCCAATTTAATATAACTAACGTTACTTAGGTAGACAAACCTTTAATACGAGGCGTGTCTAGTAGTGCTCTAAAACCTTTTTTTTTAACACGCTTCAATGCACTTGGAAACTATGGGACATTGAGCTTTATAAATTCTTTAAAAGTACTAAGTTGCTCTGGGACATTCAAAACACACTGAGGCTTTTGACAAGCTTCAAAGAACTAGGAAACTTTGGGACATTGATGTTTGTAATCCAAAAGAAAGGAGAATGGTACATAATGAACACCGAAAATGTTTAGTGAATTCTGGCTTGGTTCATAACTTATCACGTCCCTGGGCTGAAGACCTGGTCTGGTAAACAGCTCTTTTTGGGTGTGTATGTAACGTCTAAGGAGAGAAAAGAAGAGAGAAGCGGGGAGCTCGAGCTAAGTACAGGGTGCCACGCTAGGGCCAGGTCATGTGACGCTAACGTCACAACATCCCCCCTTCAACTATAAGAGTTCTCCGAACTCGAGCAAAGTAGCTAAAATCCCTTGAAAAAACCTCTAACTTTCTACTATCCTATTCCCGTTCCTTCGCTAGCTCCAGTCTGTCCCCAACTACTAGCAGTCTCCTTTCCTTCATCCTAAACAGCTTGTCCCCAGCCATTGCCTTAATTTCCTTTAACTTCTTCCTCAGCTTTAACTTCCTCAGGTTTATTCTTAATTTCGAATTTACGGGCTATATAATAGTCCTCAAATGCCTTTATATTAGTAATTAAGCGGATATCGAATTCAGGAATATAGGTATAGCCTTTACTAGCCTCTTAATTAAAAGAAGAGAACTAAGCTTACTTAAACCAAGTAATATATTATTTTCTGGTCTTTTCCTCTTATTATTAAATATCTTTAATAAATATATTATCTAGAAATTTAATAATAACCTTATTACTAAAAAGAGAAATAAAGAGATCTTTTTTATATACCGGAATTATAAAAATAACTTTAATAAAGTTTTTCTTATTATTAAAATTCTTTATATTATAAGAAAAGTAATAGAATAATATATTTATAATTTTAAAATATTTTATTTTTTCGGAAATAGTAAAAGTATTTTTATAGGATAATTACTTAATATAGTTAATTATTATATTTTCTTAGAGCTTATTTATTAGAATATCTAATAGAGATTAAGCTATAATAAATAAGTATTTAATAGTTCTATTAATTTTATTAATACTAAAACTATATTTATTAATTTCCTTAATTTTTTTTAATTAATTATATCTAGCTTTATAGAATAGTTTAATAAGTTTTTATAGGTTTAGGGCTTTTTGGAGGTAATATAGTTATAATTACTATAATTATTTCTATAATACTTATAAGACTAATACTTAAAATAATACTAAGCTATATAATTCTTTTTCTTATAGATCTTATACTTAATAAATAGATATGTATTTTCTTAGTACTTATAAGAATTATATTTCTTATAATTACTAATCTCGAATTTAAAGTACTTTATAGAACTATATTATTTATAGCTCTTTTTATTAAGAAGATTTCTATTTATATATTTTTTAATTTAGGAATATAAGGCTTTATTCTTTAGATTCTTATATTTATAAGTATTATAGCCTTATTCTAGATAGTTCTAGTATTAAGGAAATAGATAATTCTTATTAGAAATAATATAAGTATTTTTAATATAATTCTTTTAGTTATATTAGAAATACTTTAATATATCTGGGGCTTAGAGTTTAATATAGATTTCTTAAGTCTTAGCTATTTTTATAAATATCTTAATATTTCTAATATATAATCTAAATATCTTAAATTTACTATTAAGATTATAGTTTTTATAAACTAAAATACTATCTAGAATAATAATTATAAGACTATTATAGTATCTAGTAATTTTAATAAGTAATTAATAGGGTTCTATACTAAATTTAGTTAGATAATAAATATTTAGTAATATTAGAAAAATATTATTTTTACTAATATTTTATATAATTTTAGAGATAAGAGTATTATAGTTCTTTAGGCTATAGTAATTAATTTTTATTTGAATTATTATAGCCTTTGCCTTATAAGAACTAATAAATATAAAGGATATATTCTTATTAATAATATATTTATCTAATTAAAGCATATATTAAGCTTTTTTTATAAGCTTAATTATAAAATACTAGATAGCCGGATTATATATAAAGTTATTATTAGATTTAATAAAACTCTTTAATTCCTTAATAATAATTATAGTAAAGTTATATAAAATACTAAGCTTTTTATTAAATAATTCCTTAAAAAATAATATATTTAGTAAAGAAGTAACTATCTTAATAATATTAACTATCTAGCTATAGTAAAAGATATAATTAATAAAATTTATAAATATTAGAATATTTATATAAAATTACTTATTAAGGAATATATTATATAAGATTATTTAGCTAGTCTTTATTAAGATTAATATAGTCTTGGCTTTATAGAATATATTCTAGTATTCGGAATTAGTTATAAATTTAAAGAAAACTTTTATTTAAATAGGATTTCTATTATTAATTATAAAACCGGTAATTCTATAAATACTAATAAATATATAGGTTATAATAAGAATGTATTTTCTGCCTTTATTAAAAACTATAACTATATAAAAAGAGACTACTTACTATACTATAGTTTATAAGGCTTATCCGGATATAGTAATTATTATATTAGTATTACCTAAGGTATCTATAAATAATTACTTATAACTAGTATAAATAAAAGCCTAATTAATTATATTATTATTTGAATTCTTTTAGATATATTCTAATTTCTCTAGTAATACTATATATTACTAGTTAAAATTATGTTTTATATTAGCCTTATACTATATAGTCTTATAAAAAGTAAAGTTCTTAATAGATTCTATAAAATACTTATTACTAATCTTATAAGTCTTATTAGTAAATTTAGTAATATTATAGAGATAATATATAGTAATAAATATCTTAGTCTTTTTATTATTATTATAGAAGTTATTAATAAAATATAGCTTTAATATCTTTATATTAAACTTTATATTCTTAATTAGTAAAAAACTAAAATAAATAATAGTACTTTTAATATTATAATACTTTAGTTTCTTAGTTAGTTCTAAAATAAAATAATTAATTCTAATATTTGTTTTCTAAATAATTAAAATATTAAACTTCTTAGTATACTTTTCTTAAATATTCTTTATAATTATTATAACTATTAGTAATATACTTATTCTTAATTTTACTAATATTACTATTTCTTAAATATATAAAAAAGTATAATAAATCTTAGATATATTATTAATAAGGAAGTTTTTTTACTAATCTAAAAGCTTATTATATATCTTTTTCTAGTTTTTCGGAATATAATTATTAAAGAAATTAATAACTAGGTATTTTAAGGTATTATTAAAAGCAAGGAAATATATAATAAGATATATATTTACTAGGGCTATATTTGAATCTGATTTAAGCTAGAAGAATTTATTTAGATTATAAATAAGATCCCGATATATTCTATTAGAATAGCTAGGTTTAATAGAAATACCGAATTTTAATACTTTACTAAATTTAATATATAAATACTTAAAATTATAAAAATTAGTTTTATAACTTGGAATTTTGGTATTTATTTAATATTTATAGCCTTTAGGGCCTTAGAAACAGAAATTAGGTCTATAGAAAATAATAATAGGTAAACTATTTACTAGAGTATACTTATTTACTTATTAAATAATTCTTATTTATATTTATAGCTAGTATAGCTCTTTTTTAGTTATGGCTTTTATAGAGATCTCCTAATAAACCTTAACTATTTCTTATATATTATTATTAAAATCCTTATAAAAAATACTATTATTATTAAAATCTTAAAGAAATATATATAAGTATTTAGTATTTTTACCTATATATTCTAGATAGTCGGGAATATTAAATAAAATACAGATATAAATTATATTACTTACCTTAGGATAATTAAGCTTTAAATTTTTCTAATTAATATATAATAAATATATTTTAGGAAAATTATTATTAAAGTTATTATTCTTAAAAGAAGTTCCAGATAAGGCTATAAAAGAGGTATTAAATAATATAGCCTTTTATTTAGTATAATAGCCCTTAGAAAGATTATATTTATAGGTAATAGTATAGATTTAATATATATAAGCCTCTAGTTAATCTTACTAAATAATCTTATTTATAATAACCTAGTCTTTTTTAGAGATAAATAGGAATTTATAGAAATAAAAAAAAAATCCGATTATTAATAATTACTTATTTAGAGAATTCTTTACTTAAGCCTTAAAAGAATTAAAAGCCTTATTTATAAGAATCTTATTTTTAAGCTTTCTAAATATTTTTATTTTATAAATAGTATTATTAATAACTAAAAAGAATATAAATATAGGTTTCTTTTATTACTTAATAAAAAGGATTTTTTTAGAAAGAAATTTAAGGTATTTTAAATAATTATATATATTTATATATAAAATATTAGTATTAGTAATATTTAGCTTCTTTATATAAAATATAATATATATCTTATTTATAATATTAAAATAGTTATTAGTCTTTGGATTAGTAGTTTAGTAGCTAAAAGCTTCTAATAAGAGGCTATATTTAGTAGTATAGATAATTATAAAAGCCTTAATATTAAAAAAGCTAATATTAATCTTAAGAATATAACTATAAATATTACGAGAATTAATCTTTTTAGAAAGCTTTAT